CGCATTACCTTGAAAGGAAAATCTATGAATAGGCGACGTTTTGGACAATAACCTTTCTCCCATAGCACATGGTTGATCTTCATTTGGACTGGTTCTTTCTACGCCACGTGGTTACCAATAATCAGGCGTGCGCAGTGCATAACAACTTTATTTCAACATCAAGAGGAGGGCATTTGGTTGACGACATTAGTTAGCCATGGCACCAAACTAAATTAGTTCTTAAAAACCGCTGCTTCTGGAAGTCGCTTGGACAACGCCAGCCACTTTGAATAAACATTTCATTTGCGACCATAAACATTGAAAAGGGAACGACTCGGCGCAGTGTCGACTTAGACGCGTCGACTTTCCGCTCGCGGACGGGGCGAACACGTCGACACGAGAATCCGGCAAGAACACAACAAGTCGATGTATTGCCGTGTCGCATGGGCGGCGAGTTAAGCCCGACGCAACTCGTGCTGCTACGCTGAAGTTGACCACATCAAGTTGCTTTGTGAAATGTGTGCGTGCATTTTAGGCCTTGTCAGCGGTCGGTACAAACACCACAAGGTGGTCACAGTCGGCAAGGTTGGATGTGTGCATGTTGAACGTCTTTCGCACCGTACGCAGCCAGACGTGCTATATCGGAGGTGCCGGGGGAATGAGAACACAAAGCCACACAGCGCGTGTGGTGGGGTAAAGTGTGGGGACCGCCAAACGCTTCCAATACGTCTGGCCGGGGTAGAAGGGACGGGTGAAAATACCGCCACACAACCCTCACTCCAGGAGGGACGTCTCGAGTCTCCCCCCCCCAAACCTCTCTCGTGGAGCCTCTTGCGCCAGCAGTGTCCACCTGTGAGCGAGCAATTGCAGGGCTGCGCCTTAACCTTCAAGCGGGTCACTTTGTTCTGCACGGCTGACGCCGACGTAAGGAAATGAAACGCACAAAGGCGCGACCGATCACAACGCGTATATAAGTAGCCAACACAAATACTCACAGGAGGCCCTATAGGTCAGTGATAAATGCTTAGAAAGCGCAAGCCATTGCACAGTTTTGGCGATTCAGTTTAAAAAAATAAATAATCCTAACACTGGTACGTGCGTGTGCGCCGAATGTGTTGCAGGTTATTCAGGATCGGGATAAATACGTCGTCGTCATCATCATCGTAGTCATGGCTTCTGCAGAAAGTACGATGCAACACTGCTTAAAGAATACCAAGGGTTGCTGAACACTCAATATAAATCCTGCAATGCTGCCAAAACGTGGCCTTCAATAACTCCAGTAGCTAGAAACTCGCACCCCCCCAATCTCCCCAACGGTGGCATTTTCCCACGTTTACAAATGTCTCCGTTCAATTGCAAATGACGCCATTACGTGCGCCGCACGCGCCTGATGATTGCTAAACATCGACCGCGTGACGTCGACAGCGCCGATTCATATTGAAGTATCGATCGCGTGTGCGCGCACGCGTGGGTTCCACTGTCAGACACGGCGATTCACAATTAAATAAATAACCTTCAGTTCTATAGGTCTCCATAAAAGTCAAGTACAATTGAGTCTCCATGAGTTTTTTTTGGGCTAGATCGCATGAATGTGTCGTTAAACCCGCCACCACTCGACACAGCGAATTAGTGAGGTTTGTCACGTAAACAAAACGTGCCAATTCGTTACTAATTCAGCACACAGGGGTGTGTTGGAGAGTAAACCCACAACGTTTACAATTTAGTCTCTCGGTCCTGTTGACTTTTCAGACGGATTTTCACTCGCAGAATTTGTTTATGAAGATGCAATCTCTGCACGGGTATCGTCCTCTGAAGCTCATCGTCAAAGTCAGACTTGTTGAACAAAATTACTGGCTTACCAAATGCTATTGGCTAGTACCCTCCTTCTCTACAGCCTGGAAAGTCACCGGCACCAGAAACACCACGATGGGGAAATAAGCCACGCTCTGTCACGTGGGACAACACATGTACACACCAAAATGCCAGATGTTCAATCTCAATTCCAATCGGCGCTCTCCACCAACACGTGCCCGTGTAGTGTGACTTCATGTCTTTCTTCTCAATTGCAACAGGGCAAGATTGGGAAGCGTGGGAAACAAGCCTGGCATGTTCAAGTGTTAACATGGCACGCGATTAACTTGACCTCGAATCCACTTCATAAATAAGTTAGATCACATTCCATTTCATATACAAAGTACAAAACTACAAAACGAAGACGGACACCACCAATCACTGACCGCACGAGACCACGCAGGCTAGCGTTTGTGGGAACATATTGAGCCCTCGCGAAATAATCCAACCGAACAAAAGATTAGCAAAATACTGGAGCATAAAGACGTGGGATTGTGTACTGGTGGAGCGCCTATGCCACGTTGCTTTTGAAATCCGCGGTGTCATATCGCCCAAAAATACAAAGCATGCTCTGACACAACACTGTTAATAAACGCGTTAGAACTGGGTTTAAAAATAACAATACACTGAATAATTGGATCAATCACTTAACCTAGTTATACATCAGAGTAGTTTTTGACTGGACTCGCTTAATATTTATTTATGCGACAAAGCAAACATTAGGATCACCTAGGGTGGTGGGTGATGAAGGACTGGAGTGGCACAGATTTTAGTTTAGAAGACCCAAAAAAATGGAAACATATGACAACCCTGCTCCTTTGCAAATGTGATCACATAAAACTGTTAATAAATCACAGCCCTTTGTCAATCCACTCCTGGATGATGGCCTGCACGTGGCTTTTTGTTTTGGCCAGGCAAGTTGTTTGACCATACTTCACCACGGTGATGAGTTTGAGTTGGATGCATGAATACCGCAAGCCACTGATGGTGTTCGGTGTACTGCTCGGCAATCGAACTCAGGTCCGCCGGGTTCATAGTGCAGTGCGGTTTACCAAGTACTGCGCTCTTGTTGGCGATATAAATAAACTGATAACCACTAATGTTGCCTTCTTGCTTCTTTCGGTAAAGTCACGTAGAATGGAAATAATAAAATAAAACATAATAAAAAAAGAAGAGAATTCTATTATATGATTTTATTGTTTTATTTTTATTATTTTATTATTCCCATTCTACGTGACTTTACCGAAAGAACCAAGAAGATGAATCCCTGCAGTCACGAAAGCTTTAAATCAAAACATTAACGTTGTGTTGACACTTTGTGGCCTATCAACCACAGTGGTACACCAAGTTTTAAGATCTGGTCTTGGCCAATAGATTATTTAAAATCACTTGGGGGGGGGGCTCTCGCCAGACCGCCGTTCCATTGTGTATATAAGCCAATGATGGAGGCGATCGTGGTCTCATCGACCAACGCGGGCAGCCCCAACAGCACAATGCACTCCTTAACAGAAACAGATCTCACTGTTAGAATAATAGTGTAGTTAAATAATACACCACTGTTGGGAACGTTTCTGGTCTGCTATGGCAGTGCTCTCGAATGTAACTGAAAATTTGTTTATATCTTTTCTAACAAACAAAGCTTTTATCCGCATGTGGATTGACTTTTTTTTACATGTTTGATGACGCTTTAAAACGTTTGTGCAGGGACAGCCCCAGGGACACATCGCCTGGGCACCCTCCATCTACAAGATAAGAGCTTGATGCCTCTCTTGCAGAAGATTGGTAGACATGCAAATTCAAACTGTGATTGGATTTGCCGATGGTCAACATCCCCGGGTTCTGTACGAAGCGACAAACAACAACACGCATGTCTTTATTGTCCAGCACGTGCATTCGAAAACGCTAAAAGCATGAAGTTCAGCTTCGTTAAATAAACACGATGATCGATTGTATGTACATCGCCACGTGGCACCGTAATGCTAAGAATAGTTTTGCTTGAAGCGAGCACTTCATAGAGACGCCACATACGCACGTATTTACACTCCCCTGCATGTGTGTGTTGTGTGTGCATCACAATTGGACAAACTGTAGAAATCATCCCCTCCCCCAACATTTGTCGAGTCTACACGTCACTATATATACGGATAAGAGACCAGTTTGTGTGAAAAACTCTTTACGAATGAATAAAAGTACAATAAATAAAAATGGTATCTTATGGTTTCCGCTGCTTCGAGTGTTGGGGTGACACAATGATGGGAAGGAGTTAGTAACTTAGCAAAAGCATTCTCGACAAAAGATGAACGCAGGATGGCAGCGATTCGCTGGTTCACGATGGTAAACTATTTCTAGAGGTCGCGTAAATTCCCGTATTGTTGTGATTATTCACCCGAAATGTTTACGTTCCTGCAAATAAATTATCGGCAATTATGCTCATTGTTTCCCCCCAACAAGGAAAACAAACGTAGCGCGGTTAGAATCATAACCGCAAAGCCTCGGCGAGAGTCTCAACATTCGCTTTCTGGACGATCCTGATTATTTGGACAGCTCCATCAAGGAGCGCTCTTCGGGGGAGAAAACACAACGCGTACGATGGCGGTGGGACACTTGGCGCAGCCATCTCTTCTTGGCCATAACCTCCCAGCCCCCATGCCTACAACACCTGGCAAGCCCCAGTGATCACCCATCATCCACGTGCTAATCAGGCTCAGACCTGCTTATCTTCCGAGACCCCAATGAGATCGGGCACACTCCAGAGGATAATTTGGTTGCAGCAAATACATTTAAGCCGCTGGAACAATGAACTTTTAAATCGAATTTCTTCAGAACTGCTTTTTGTGTTCAGTTTGTTGCCCCTTCCCTCCCCCCCCCCCCCCACACCTTCGAATTATCATGGTTGGCTAGACATACGGTGCGAAAGAGGTCCAATGCACACACACACACACGCGCGCGCGCGCACTACGAGGCGCGATGGGACGTCTAAGCGTGGCTCTGCGATCGTGCGTTCGTGAAGGGACGTCCCTCAAGACGGGCACCACCCCACCTCTCGTCCAGCCGACGGGACATTAAGCCTCTCACCGCCGGGGTCTTCACACCCCCTTGCAACATTTTCACGAGCAAAACCGCCCCGCCCCCTTTCCCCCCTCCCCCCCAACGAGTCAGTTTCTAGCTACTGCCGGATGGCCCCCGCATCCCCGCACTGCGGATAGCGTTGAGCGCGTGCGGTTTCTGCCTCGCAGCGAATAAATAATTCAACAGGCCCAACCTTCTCTCTTCTCTCTCTCAGGGATGTTTGTTTCTAATTCGTTCGACTTCACAACCCCCGCCCCCCTGCCACCAAGAATAAAAACCCTCGATAAATTCCTTTTAAAGTTTTTCGGCTCGGCGGGGGGGGGGGCACAGTTAATGCAAGGTCTGCCTGCCTGAGGCTGGAGCTTCTGCCCCCGAGGCTAAACTTATCCTGGCAAAGACCCAACTTAACAGAGTGTGCGCTTAAACAAAAAGTTACGTGCACCATTAGCCGCTGCAGATAAGCGGCCGTGGCAGCACACGCGCGCCTGCGTTTGGCAGCCAACTAATCGGAATTGGTAATAACTATAATAACACAACGCTCAATTCACTATCCTGAAGTTGAATCGTTGCCGCCTTCATTCGATAAGTGAAACTGTGCAATAAGCGGCGATATCATGAGCAAATTGGGCGAGTGCTGCTGCATTGGCGATAGTTACGTCATTGGCACGTATACGTGAACCTAGAAATCCCGGCAAGCAGAGCAGCACCCACGTTACATACATCCACAAAATCATTTACGTTAATACTGAAAAACGTTGACACACGCCAGCTTAAAATATCGTTCGCATTATTCCACCTAGTTTATGCTCTCGATAAACACGTGCAGGTACAAAAACGAGGAAAGTTATTTTCTAAAATGTAAAAATCGACCTCGAGACCAAAGAAGTCTGTCGAGGTTCATGTTTCTCGTCATCAGCTGTGCGAACACCGCTCACACGGAGCAGTTTCATGCCCTTGGAAATCATCGGCAGGCCGAAGTCAGGTTCCTAACTGCCAGAAAACGCGTCTGTTTGTGAAAAGACAAAGCCCCTTAATATTGTTATTCCCTTTGAGTAAAATCGATTCCACAATAGTGGTAACGTTGCAACAATTTTCTTTGGTCCCTATGCTCAAGTCAGCAACCTCTTAAAAGGATCACGCAAATGCGCAACTCTCGCTGTGCGGGCCGTCTAACAATCCCACCCCTCCACCCAGATATTCCGATGTTCGTGATTCAGGATTGCGATTCCAGAATCAAGTCTATCTCTTTTGCTGCCCTTAGCGTTTTAATGCAACTGCCTTTGACTGGCGTCTTCTCCGTACACTCTCAATTTTAGCAACCAAAAGCCCCAAATCAACATTTGCTCCGGGAGAGGTCGCTCATTCCCCTCTGCTGCTCCCATATTCTGTAACTTCCCTCCCCCCCACCCCGGTTATTGTGCTGTTGACTACCAGCGCATATTCAAGTCTAGGCCTCAAGACTTTAATTTAAAAAATCTCTGCTCATCACCGACTGCCTCAATCATAATGATACAAAGATACCCACCGTTTCTGTGAAGCGTGCTGAAATGTGATCGAATTTGGAATAATTTCTAATTGTATTGCATTAAATCTCGGTAGAATAAGCGCCCTAACAGCTCGGTGGAAGTTGACTGGGGTCTTCGAGAAGAAGCCTTGGTTGTTGAAGTGGAGAGCGCTTGGTCGAGAGTAGAGTGAGATGACAGAGGTAGGAGTTTGTGTGTCTGGAGGGATCAGTGAGATTGGAGAGGAGAGCCCAGGCAGGGAGTGAGTCCACGCAGAAGCTAGGAGGGGGGGTGACAGTGTGATCTTGAAACCGATTCAGGATTGTATTGAGATCCAGCGGAGGGACCCGGATCATTGGGGGCGACACGGCCACGATATAAATATATATAAAAAATCCAATTGACAAATCGACGGATCGTCGCACGCCCACTAGCGCCACGGTCCCCACGGGGGACGGGGCAGGCCGGCGCGGCACGCTCACAGGCCGGAGATCCGCTCACGGATGCTGCTCAGCTCGGCCGGCTCGTCAGCCCTTCGTCGGCCCTCGTTAGCACCACCGCCGCCGCCGCCATCTTCATCCTCCTCCTCCCCCCGCTCGCCGTCGCTGCCCAGGTCGACGCGGCGGCGCAGGTGCGTGGGGTAGGCGAGGCCGCACTCGGCCGCGTGGCGCTCCCAGCGCGCGTCGTCGCTCTCGTGCGTCACGTAGCGCTCCGAGCGACGCACCTCGAGCTCGCGCAAGTCCAGCCACGTCTGGTAGTCCTGATCGCTCGCGTGCACGCGCACAATGCAGATCAGCCGCGGGAAGCCCTCGCACGGACTGCTCGCGTGAGAGTGCTGTTTTATTAAGGTCATCCAGAACAGATCGTGCAACGTACAACGACCACGAATACGAAGGAGACATCACAGCGATACACTACTCCCCTCTGCTGCTGACACCGCTGTCTCGCTTGACCACCTGAGTGTGAAATTGTAGTTGTTGCTCTGCGTCTACATCAGCCGCACGAAAGAATGCCGGTTGCGCTATCGGCGTTTCGTCACGAGGCAGAGAGTTTATTGGGATCTCTCGTAGAGTGGTGCAGGTAATGTGTTCAGGGATAGAACACGGAAGAGGGGATATCAGAGCGACGTCCGAATACACTTGAAGTCACCTCTGGTACACACGGTAGGGGGCAGCACTTTCCCATGCCACCCTGCTACAGAGAGTAATGATTGTCTGGCATTTAAAATGATAAGAATTATTGAGACGGTCTGAGACGACCAAGCCCAGTGAGCAATGAAGAAGGGCCATTGCCTGAAACGTCACTTATTATCCATGTGTTTTATTTTTAAGGCCATGTTATTGACGAATCTGTTCAAGTTCATGCTTGGGTAAAGAAATCAACAAAAGCATTGCTCACCTGCAGCCAAGGGTGGCTGAGTGTCTTGTCCACACTGTAGCGTTTCCTCATCTTCACCTGGAGGAGGTTGTTGATGAGGTCGATGGCTGGAGGGGAAATGCACGCCGGGGAAGAACGCATCAGACACACGGGGCAACGCACAAAGACAACTTAAGCGCGTGTCACTACACTAATGCGGAGCTGTAACAAAGCCAATGCCATCAGATTCAAATCGATGCATCCAATTAAACCACCCGCTAGTGTTACCCAACACTGCAAATTCCGAAGTGTAGTTTGCACTTGGACTAAATCACCCCGAATGTGCCCAATCTCAGGAGCTAAGCAGGCTCCAGCCTGGTTAGTACTTGCACGGGAGGCAGCACGTAAGACAGAATAGGATATAACAAGTGAGAAATAAAAGAGAAAAACATATTTCAGAAATTTGCCAGTTCAGTGGGAACAAATAAGATACACAAACAAGACAATCAAATAGTGAATCCATATCATGACAATGAATTGAATCAAATCAAGTATGAATGATCATTCCATCCTTTAATTATTACTCAAATAATCATCAGCCACTGCTGGATGAAGGCCTCCTCCAAGCTGTTGCCATCTCTCATGGTCCCCCTCAACATCGTCATGGCTATAGCGTCACCCGAACGCTGCCCGATCTGGCTGGGCCATGTACACTGCAGCAAGGCATCGGAGTGAAGGTTACAGCGGGGCAACGTTAGGGGCAACGTTAGGGGCAACGTTGGGGCAACATTGGGGAAACGTTGGGAAAACGGTTCCAACCGCGTTGACCCAACGTTGCATGCTTACTGGTTACTGGTGTCAGGTGAGAAGAGCTCCCTACTGATGGCACCACACCACGGCAAGTGGAGGCCCTGGGTTGCCTGATCTCTCCGTGACATGGGATGGCCCACGTCCAGTTGCCCCCCCACCGTAGAGGAGCCACACGCCAACTCAACCAGCGCTCGGAGTTCTCCGTCGCCCGCGCGATCCCCGACGGCACCCACCGTCCTGCGTGATCTCCTTCCAGGGGTTGGGCGGGTACATGAAGGCGGCGTTCTGGATCTGCTCGTTGATGTCCTCGTCCTCGTTGAAGGGGAAGGTGCCGCTGAGGCTCACGTAGACGATGACGCCCACCGACCACATGTCGAGCGAGCGGTTGTAGCCCTGCTTGCTGCGGATCACCTCGGGCGCCAGGTAGGCCGGAGTGCCCACCACCGAGCGGCGGAATGACTTCTCGCCGATGATGCGCGCAAAGCCGAAGTCGCACAGCTTCACCTGCGGCGCACGGACAAGCGCACGCGTGTACGTGTGCGTGCGTGCGTACGTACGTGTGTGCGAATGTATGTATGAGGAGCTGTGTCGTAGCGGTTAGCGCACTGTGCGATGAGCACGGTGACCCAGGTTCAATTTCTGCTTGTGATCGACACCAGTGATGATTATCTGAACGGGTCCTGGGCCTCCCCTAGGTCGTGACTAATATAATTAATAATAAAGGTTTTTGGGGTTAGATGGCACAAGTATAAATGTGTCGTAACCCTCCACCACCCGACACAGCCAATTAATAAGAGATTTGTCACGTAAACAAAACGTGACAATTAGTGACTACTTCAGCCCACCGGCGTGTTGGAGAGTCAATCCACAACATTTACAATTTGAGTAGTACGACGTTTCACTAGTTATTACAACCAGCATCATCGGGCGATTTACCAGTCTATCTTTGTCTTGTTGTTTAATGTTGAACTTCTTTCGTGCCCTACACAGCCCACCATGCTAATCGGAGGTGCGGGGGAAGGACAACAAACTAAACACAAAAGGCAGTTCTAAAGAAATTCGTTTTCAATTGAGATTTCAACGTGCACAGTTCCAGTGGCTTCCTAATATCGGAAGGAAAAGCGTTTCAGACGGCCTAAGAAGCGCATCTGAAAGCGTGCGATGCAGTGACCATCTTTGTTAGACGGTTAGCCAAAATCCACTGCTTCGAGGGTAACCAGAGGTACACGTGCATGAGGCATGACGCTCACAACAAAGAGCGGAGCGCCGGTCGGCTAACACACAGCAAGTTGGCACAGTAGTGGGGGGGGGGGCACAACCGGTACATCTGCCAGTCATCTCAGTCAGTCAACCCCGTGACCGCCTGCCAGCGGGCATTCGACACTTCACGTGACCTTAAAGTCCTCATAGCCTGGCACAAGCGGCGTGGTGATGTCACCGCCACTTAGTGGTGAATGGCGGCAGTTGCTGTTGTTGTTGTTGTGAGGCGCGACAAACCGTGTCTCGGCGGCAGCCCCGTTAAGCCGGGTGGCCGGGGCACGGTTGTAGGGGCAAGTCCTTCTTGCTGAAGAAGGCTTTGCCACCCCCCAGCTTATGAATTATTTTCGTCAAGTCAAAAACCATCAGCACAATACTTAACGCCAGAGGCGATTTCTCCTGGGGCTTTCCCTCAAATACACAGTGGCGCGAGAGCCAGCGCTGAATGCACGGTAGGGGAAAGCAGGCAACATCGTTACTCACGCTCTTTACCGGTTAGCACTTGTTTAGAGTTTGTTCAACATCGACTGTGTCAGACCGTCCCCCCCCCGAGTAGCTGTATACCCCCCACTTTACAAATCTGCAGCATTGACCTGTTCAAAACAATATTGATCGCGATGCTCATTATATGACATGAACTCAGGGGGTGTATGCTTAAAGGTAATCTGGAGAAGTAGCTGGCCTGCCTGGCCTGACTGCCTGGTTAGGCCTGGGCTGGCCTGCATGCTCAGCGCTCAGAACTGAGCCCCCCCCCCCACCCCCCGCTGCTGCCATCCTGAATTCGTGATTATAACAATCGGCTTTTGTTTTCATTCGTGGAGAGTTCATTATCTCAATCCAATTACTAATAATGCCTGCACAAATATTACTCCGTGGCGCTAAGTCTGGTTTTTCAATTAATTTGGCCATATTCAAGCTGATAAAATGTAAAATATCGAATATTACTGTGGCGGGGAGTGTGAAAAAGTTATCTTCATTTTAATTGTTACCGAATCAGGCACTTGGCCACAAAACCTGCGACATCTCATTTACTTATTTTAATCCACAAAAAATTTCTTTTCAGATAATCCGATATTCTTTCACGGAAATATTTTCAGATTTCGCAGCTTAATCCTGAAATCGGGAACATCCATTAACTGCGTGTGTTTACAATTTGACTGCAAGTGAATCCCAGCCGTGGTCAGTAGATTGTTGCCAATCTAAAAATAAATGGAGCAATTATAAATGCAGATCATTGACACACTCAGGGACTTCGATCCCATTCTCGTGAACTCTTCTGCAATTGAAAATCATGCCACACTCCAATCTTGTTTGCGGGTAAATACGGGCGACAGGCTGGCGGCAGTGGTCACACTTCTGCCTCACAGCAAACAAGGGCCTGGCTTCGATTCCTGACTCAGGCGACCTTTCTGTTGTTTGGAGTTTGTATGTTCTCACCCTGCTCTGCACGGGTTTCCTCTGGACTCTCCGATTTCTTGCCGTAGCTCAGGAGCTCCGAAGCCGCATGTGGCTCTTTAAGGACCGCCATCTTGTATTCACGTTGCATTGCAGATCTTGAATTATCGAGTTCTTTTTTTATCGATTCAGAAAAAAATGGCTCTTCGTGTTATTTTGGTTGCCTGACCCCTGACCTAACCTTATGAGCTCACACGACGTAACCGGTATTGGCCCGCCACCCCAATGCTGAAACATGACCTGAAAATGACTCTTGGGCTCACGCACATTGCAACATCGCCCTCCCTACTGCGAGACACTTGGCCAAACCCTTCAGAAAAAGAGTCCCGAGGACTCAGTTAGGGCCTTCCTGGATAAACAAGCGTAACTTTATATGTACATATTCTTAAGTTTTTTCGGTAAAGTCACGTAGGTAAAAATGTAAATGAATAAAAGTAAAATAAAAATAAATACAGCTATCGTGCTGTGACTGTTCCACCTGAAGACGGAAGCTTGTGTTGCCTCCGAAACGTCGTGATTTTTTTTATTTATTTTACTTTTATTCATTTGAATTTTTTACAGTACGTGACTTTACCGAAAAATCTAAGAATATGAATCCTTGCAGTCACGAAAGCTTTAAATCTAGAATTACATGTACATATAGAGCGGTCTTACAGCCAGTCCGTGAGCACGGCTGCAGTCGTGTGGTGAGTGCAGGGGCATCTGCTTACTTGTGGAAATGGATCTGCGGATGCCAAGAGCACATTCTCTGGCTTCAGGTCGCAGTGCACAATGTTTTTGAAATGCAGATGCCGCAGTGCCACCAAAATCTGAAATGGACAAAAAATGGCGCAACGGTTAGATGGGGAAAACAGCAGAGATAAGTTGACCTCGATTCGGTGTTTAAACCGTTCGAACCAATATCGGTGAACTCTGTTTTGATGGCAAATTAGCTGTCTGCTTTTACGAACATTAGCGTTGGTATCGGCTCTCTATAAGCGAGTAGTGGCACGGTGGTTAGCGCACCGCGCTATGACCGAAGTGACCTGCGTTCGATTCCCGGCCACGGCAAACATCAAGCTACGAGTAGATATCTGAACCGCTCTCGGGTGTCTTGCTGCACTTCACCAACCTGCACCGACCACCGTAGTGAAGTATGGTTCTACAAAATCCCCCTTCACCCACACAGCACCAGGACTGAGAAAGGGCCAGTGAGTTTATAGAAGCTCTGAAGAGTGCGCAATGATTAAGTATTTCCATTTATTGGGCTTCTAAAATTCCCCAGGAGCTCAAAGCACCTCATATCGCATCTCATCTCGGATCAGTCCAGTGTCCAGCTGTAGGTTTCGTTTTTGGCCTAGGGGACCGCCCCCTGATGACAGCTGTCCCTGTGCGGCACAAGGTGATGAAGCACCACCATGCAAGTGGGCATTCCTCTGTCGGTAAGGATCGATGTTGCTCTCCAATTTATCAATTAGCTAACGCTGGCACTACGACGACCAACTCTTTTCAAAACACAGCCGCGGTTTGTTTTACCTCCGCTGCAAATCGGACGGCGCATACGTTCTGTTAACACTCCCTCCCCCCCACCTCGCAGCATTAACCAGGGCGGCCGGGCAGGGGGGTGGGTGGGGACTCCTCTGCGGCGTTGCGCTGCTCGACGACACACGAACACCGACCCTCGTGCCACCCCTCCAACGGCTGGCGAGGGAGGACGCGCCAACGACCGCAGCGACTCGCAGCGACTCGCCTGCGTGACGAGGAACTTGGTGTTGCGCTCGGGGAGCCGACCCTTCTCGCTCGAGAGGATCATCTCGAGCATGTCGCCGTGCAGCTTTTCCATGACCACGAAGACGCGCTCGGGCGTCTCGAACATGCTCTGCAGGTTCACCACGCCCGGGTGGTGTAGGCTCTGTGGGGGGGGGGGGGCGAAGAGGGAGCGGGGTAACGAATAGACGCAACCGCTCAGCCACAAGACCTCAAGTTCAAGTTCATTTATTAGGTATAGCCCTGTGAGCCATTCGGCTCTTGAATCGGGTGCAACCTCAACAAACAAAAAACAAAAACATGAACAAAAAACATCTTAAACTGAATATGTGACTGAGTGCAAACAGAAAATCCAAGAAAAGACAGCAAAATATTGCAGAAAAAACACCGTACACCAACGCTGTGTGCAAAAATCCCAGTGGGATGCAAGTCAAACAACCAACAACAACTACAAGACAACTTAGATTAAGGCCATCAGTCTAACTCTGTGCTACAACAAACAAGCATGGCCAAACCAATACACTTTTCGAAATCACCAAAATAAAGCCATGAAAGCAATGAAACAGTGATCATAGGAACTGTGACGGATTTTCACAATAAATGGCATAAACAACATGTACTACCAAAACCCTGCAGCCATAGCTGGCTGCACGAGTCACTCCACAACACCTCGGCCACACCGCAAACCACACAGGGATCCATGAAGGAAAACCAAGTTCACGTGCATCAGAATGTGAAGTTCACTTCCCGAGCTGTACAGCTGCTTTCTGCAGGGGAACTCGGCCAGCAAACACTGCCTCAACGCCCATCGCTACCCCTATCACTACCCCAACCACGACCTCTATCAACCCCAACCCCCATCACGACCCCTTTCACTACCCCAACCTAACAACATCGACTACCCACCACTACCTATCACCCCAACCCCCATCACGACCCTTTCACTACCCCAACCACGACCTCTATCAACCCCAACCCCCATCACGACCCCTTTCACTACCCCAACCACGACCTCTATCAACCCCAACCCCCATCACGACCCCTTTCACTACCCCAACCACTACCTCTATCAACCCCAACCTCCATCACGACCCCTTTCACGACCTCCTACCCCAGTCCCTCCATAACCACTGACGCCTGCTAACCTACCACCACAACTACACAGCCACTTTTAATGACCCCACTCTCTATTTTAACTACCATCCTCTTACGTACTTGCGTTGTGGCCGAAACGTCGTGAGATTTATTTTATTATGTTTTATTTTTATTATTTTATTATTTCAATTCTACGTGACTTTACCGAAAGAACCAAGAAGATGAATCCCTGCAGTCACGAAAGCTTTAAATCGAAATTTAAAAGCGGTTTGGACTAAGGCACTTTATAAATGTATATAAGATCATAATAAATACAATTATTGTTTTTATTTGTCAACTAATTATAGGCCCCTATTTAAAGAGCAATTTCGGGAACTGCTTTCCACCCCCTTCGACATCCATCTCCATTTACCTCTGTAATTAAATATATTTAGAAACACGCAACTCTTAAAACCTAGTTTTTCACAAGCGTGCAATATTCGTACATTGCAAGCTCTAATTAAACAGCTCTGTCTTGCATGTGTTCTACTGAACTGGTTAAACATCCGGAAAGAGTCTCGAACATCACACAGCGGAAGCGAGTTCCAGGCCGATGGACCACTGAGTAGGTGAGTGGGTGAGTGGGTGAGTAGGTGAGTGGGTGAGCAGGTGAGTGGGTGAGCAGGTGAGTAGGTGAGCAGGTGAGTGGGTGAGCAGGTGAGTGGGTGAGTGGTGAGCAGATGAGTCAGTGAGTAGGTGAGTGAGTGAGTAGGTGAGTGGGTGAGTGGGTGGGATCGTGAGTTCCAGGCCAAAGGATCGCTAAGTGGGTGAGTAGGTGAGTGGGTGAGTAGGTGAGTGGGTGAGTGGGTGGGATCGTGAGTTCCAGGCCAAAGGATCGCTAAGTGGGTGAGTAGGTGAGTAGGTGAGTGGGTGAGTGGGTGAGTAGGTGAGTAGGTGAGTGGGTGGGATCGTGAGTTCCAGGCCAAAGGATCGCTAAGTGGGTGAGTAGGTGAGTGGGTGAGTAGGTGAGTGGGTGAGTGGGTGGGATCGTGAGTTCCGGCCAAAGGATCGCTGAGTGGGTGAGTAGGTGAGTGGGTGAGTGGGTGAGTGGGTGAGTGGGATGGTGAGTTCCAGGCCAAAGGATCGCTGACCACAAAGCTGCAGGGTCCAAACCTCGTTGTCAGAGCAATCAGCGTCAACATGAGCTGTCGAATGAAGATGGTGACGATTGCCAATGGAGTGCACCGGCACACACCACATATCCATCAGATCGCGTGACGGAGACTGGTGTAGACACTCGTGTGTGCGTATACGAATGTGCACACAATCGAAACGTCGTATGCTAGTATTTAATTTAATTTATTACTTTATCTTTATACGTGACTTTACCGAAAGAACCAAAGAATAATTCCTGCAGTCACGAAAGCTCCAAATTAAGTTTGAATGTGCACAGCTTGTCGTCGTCAATCCGTTGCGCAGGTCATCACGAACGGTCGGTGCGATGTGGTCGTGTGTGCTCGCAGCAAACCCACGCCGGCGTGCGTGCCGGCCGGTACCTGCAGGATGGCGACCTCGTTGCGCAGCTGACTCTCCTGCTTGGTTGGGAAGCGCAGTTTGTCGATCACCTTGATGGCCACGTCGCTGCCCGTCTTGCGGTGCTTTCCTGCAGTGCCACCGCCGCAAGCAAGGAGCGCTCGATGACGGCGAATATTTGATGCAACGCCAAAAGACAAACATCTCCCGTACGGCCTTCAAAAGGCCGTTTGAGGCCAAGTGGTGTGAGCGAGTATCAGAATCTGTATTTATGCTGGAGGAATCCGATGAGCTATGAAGCTCTTTTTCACAGATATTCGGTACGCGCGGGTCAGAAAGTTACAACGCCTGCGCAGGCCAGCACGGCACACAGGGGGTGGGGTGGCCAATAGCGCGACTCGGTTGAACAACCAAATCGATTTACACATTTGCCCACGTGACAATTTTATTTCATCAGCTTAGTCAGGTGGCGGGAGAGTTATAGCTAAAATTGGCATTGATCTGACCTATACATGAGTAATTATGAATCACACACACATTTTCTTGGTTATTTTGGTGAAGTCACGTAGAAGGGAAATAATAAAATAATAAATAAAACTTAATAAAAAACATAACAATTATGTTTTATTTTTATTATTTTATTATTTACTTTCTACGTGACTTTACCGAAAGAACCAAGAAGATGAATCACTGCAGTCACGAAAGCTTTAAATCGAAATTTCACACGCACATTGTTTTAATGATAACTGTCGTGATGCGCTTGCAAACATTTTAGGGCAAGTGTTGCTGGCAATGGTCACTGGAAACAGTTGCTGCATCTTCTTTCTTTCGTATGGTTGTGCAACAACTACAATTTCACATTCAGGTGGTCATGCCAGATAACCGCATCAGGAGCAGCGGAGTGTATCGCTGCGATGTCTCCTTGGTATTTGTGGATCGTAAAATTTCGTTGTACGGTCTGTTCTGGATGACCACAGTTGCACACTGGAGAGTTTTTAAGGTTCCATTTGTGCATCAGCATCTGTCTTGGTTTGTGCGGCTCATCAGTTGACGCATCATTTTCCATTACACCTGGGAGTGTTCACTCCCGGAAGGGACTTGCGCGGTTGAAGGAGATTTATTGCCTGCTTGATTTTTTTTGTTACTTTTGTTCTCCACAACGATGCCAATTGCTTATGGTATGTTGCGTACGACAACAACAACAACAATCGTGAAAATTCTCATTGCTGCTCCCCCTAGTGGGCAACTGCGATTGCTGCTTCCAATCGCAGGTAGAGGACTACCACTACCTGACGTTGTGGGCATGACAGGCGCATATTTATCCATCAAATGTACTTTTCAATAAACCGTGTTTTTATTTGCTAGTCATGATGCTGACACTTTATGCCATGTCTAAGCTCCCTCTTCAGTTACCATGTCCTTTCTAAAAGAATTTTGGCAATCAAGGCCTTCCTTCCATTTTGCCTTGCCCATGATATTCCTCACAAACAGTCGCAATAGATGCTCCCAGTTGCACCTAATTGTTCAAACTGCACGTGTACGTATGTGTGTGTATGTGTGTGTATGTGTGTGTATGTGTGTGTGTGTATGTGTGTGTGTGTATGTGTGTGTGTGTACGTGTATCAGAGTTGTGTTTTTAGTTTGTATTCCGACCGCAGGTATTGTGGTAAGTGCAAACATGACTCCTTGTAAAAAAGATGTCAGTTTTGTTGCCAGGTAAAAGGGGTAAAAAACCAATGATCATATGTTGCTACTGGCAAAGGAGGTTCCAATGGTATCTTGCTTCTAGTTTGCGAAGTAGGGTCCCTGTGATTTTCCACCTTTTACATCCATAGAGGAAAACAGACTCGCAAATGTCACACTACAGTATTCCAATTCCTGTTGTCATTCAGAATGTCTAACTCTTCAATACGGATCAAATATTCTGAAACAGCACAGCTACTCATCGTAAATGCACTGCTTGTGTAACTGCCGGTGACAATTTGTCACAATTGCCCAAGTCATATCATCATGGCCTTCACGCAGCTCCTCTGCCATCCTTTGCAGGGGTTTGTGGCTGCTCGGTAACCACCACCACCACCACCACCAAAACGTGGTTTTCTTTGCACATTTGTAGGCCCTGCAACTCGCTTGGCAAACGGCTCCCCTGAGCATTTCCTGGGACTTGCAGTGCTGCCCAGGCTGCCCCATGGGGCTCATCGTCATTGTCATCATCATTGTTGTTGGTGCTGTGCCCCGGTTTCTGGGTCCTGGTCTGTGCAGCGGCGTTGCCCTCTCTCTCACTTCTCTCTCTGTTTCCCTGCCATGACCTCTCCCCACTCACTCCCTCCATTACACCTGAATAAATGTTTTGTTATTGTGTAAATTGTCCCAAAAAATTTTGCCCATTACATACTGTTATATACAATATTTTTTCCGTTCAAGGTGTGCAGTTTTTTGTGCTTGTGCACGACTGCCAACGCAGCAATTAATGTATTATTATGACTCGATGTCATCTGATCCGATTTGTAATCCCATAATACAGTCGGTGGAAAGGTTGCAAACTTGAAATGGTAGAGGAAAGGATCGCCTCTGGAATTTAAAACAGAGTGTGTATTTGGCTGCAGCAGCAGCAGCAGCAGTCAGTCTATTCCAGCTGTGAAGATGAAACATTCTCAGTTTGATTGGCATGTGATTGCACACTCTTTCCAAGGCATATACACAGACACAAAGTGCACTTTGTGTTTACCTCCGTAAACGATGCCAAACTGCCCAGAACCCAGAACCTCGTCCGGGAAGATCTGGTAAACTTGACTTATGTCCTGCACATAAATAACGTGCAAAGTGTTAGGTCTGCCAAGCAGTTTCCAACAACACATCAATTGAGCGCATGATACATCCTGCACCGTGCATTGTTTTTATTTTACACGCGACTGGAGACATTTGTAAATCTCCTGGTGTTGGTTGTGGGCGATACAATCATATGTTGACATAAAACATAACAATTGCCACGTTTGTCCAACCAAAAGCATCTTTTTCCCCCCAATAAAAAAAAACGCCGATGAAAAACATTTATCCAGAAGGCACGCATAGGTTAAGAAACCGAAATGTGTCGTTTATATTTATGTGGCGAAACTCAGAATTGTCTTTATGGAAAATATGTGAAATTTTACATTTAAAGTCACCCTCCCATTTGACCTGAACATATTGCCTGCATTATTCTTTGACAAAAAATATTCTCAACTCTCTCCTGCAAGATTAGATAGTAAAAGTAAGAGAGCTTAGGTATTTATAAAATCGCATTTGATTAGGTTGCTGATTTTTTTTATCCTGGGTCAAAGGTCAAAATATAGCACAAAGTTTATGATTAACACATTTGGTCTCCAATTCCTCCTGGTCAGAATGAGCCCCTAACTCGACTCCGTAAAGTGAAAATTAGTCACGGACCATGCCTCGGAACACAGAAATACGTGTCCTATAATGGACACGGAATTAAAATTGTATTGTAATGGAACTTTATTTAACAATGTGCCAAGGAACCGGTTCTCAGATTCTTGGACTCATTCATCGCGCACTCACCACGTTCTCTTGAATTTGACTGTTCGACACCGAGATGCTGATGGAGACTTCCCCTGGAATACAAGCACCAGAGTATGGGTTCATTCATTAATCTCCTTGCCGCAACATTTAACCTTGAGGTGAATTTAGACGCGGCAAGCTATGTGTGTGTGTGCAAAAGATCATTCTTTGCGTTGCCCCTTTGCTGAAGCAATTTCTATAATTTACACTCTCTGTGGTTCTTTATTTTTAGCAGCCAGTGAAAACGAGATCTTATTGCCCAACGAAAAACGATACAAATAAAAACAAGAGAAAGTAGCTCGATGATTCATGAGTCCGAGCAATAAGCCAGCACAACGGAGATCCTGGGTTTGAATGTGGGTTGGTGTCAGCCGCCCCCCGATTTAACTGGTTTCTCAAGTGTCGGGGAATTGATCGTCTCAGCCCACCACCGCCACCGTCCCGGTCGAGGTGCGCCACTCACGTCGGCCCTGCCGGGGCGTGTGCCCGGTGTGCCCGGTGTGTCCCGGCGGCCCGGCGCCCTGCGACAGCACGGGCATGAGGGCCTGGCGGATCGCCATCTCCCAGGTGCGCGCCACCTCCGTGCCCACGCCGCTGCTGGGCAGGCCGTAGCTCATCATGGCCGCGGCGCCCGTCACCGTCACCGGGTTCTCCCCGACGAAGTACAGCATGTTGGCCGTCGTCACCTCGAAGCAGTGCGGGTTGCTGCCCGGTGGCAGAATGCCAAAGTTGCGTGACGTTTCCACGAGAAGGATCTCGGACAGTGGAATCTCCTGGGGGGGTTGGGTCGGGGGGTCGGGTCGGGGGGTCGGGGGAGGTGGGAGGCGGGGAGAGCAGAGCAGGACGTGATTGAGGAGGCTGCTTGGGCCCGTCGATCGGCGGGTTTGCGTTGAGACGTGTAAGGGGGAAGTAAGCTGTACACGTGTGGTCTGTTCTGTCGGCACACTGCTGCTGGGGGGGTGGGGGGGGGTTATTTGACCATGCGCCGAATATACGACGCAGGCATTGCCTTGCTCTCGGTCTGCGGAGAAGGCAACGGGATGCACTTAAATAGCGTTCGTAAAACGCTGACGAGCGGTGCGGCGATTTCCTTTACAAAACAGGGCGGCAGGGTGGCATAGTGCTAACACTCGCGCCTCACAGCAAAAAGGGCCCGGGTTCGATTCACAACTCGGGGCGTCTTTCTGTGTGGAGTTTGTATGTTCTCCCTCTATTCTGCGTGGGATTCCATCCGGGCCGCTCTCTGGTTTCCTCTGATAGCTCCTCCCCGCCCCCCCCCCCCCCATAATGCAACTGGTATTGGGCAAATATGCATGACAACAACATCGCCCAGTCGTGCAAAAAACTATTTGTCAGGAAAAGAGTCTTGAGACTCGGCGAAGCTTTCCTGGGTAAACAAGCACGAATTTAATGGTTAATGAAAGAGTCCTCATATCGTGAATGTATCAAGTGCGATCTGTTCATCACGTAACTGGACCACGAGCTCATTATACAAGGTGCTGACCCCTAGACGTTAGGAAACTCCTCATGCCACCGAATGGATTACAAGACTCAACAATGCGAACATGTTTTGCACACGGAAGAGGCAGACTATCATACTTCCCCGCGCTGGTCAGCGTGGGTCGCTGATGAAGGTGTGGAGCATAAACGTGGGAGCACACAAGTGCACAGTTGGGCAGTGCGGTGTGGAAGTGGCCAAGCAAACCAATGCAGAAACCCACCTGCAAAAGAGTCTTGAGACTCAAATGGGAATTTCCTCGATAAATTAATAACAACATTATTAACACAACAGAGCTTATAACAATGCGATTCATTTTAATTCAATATCATATTTGTCACATTGCAGGACTGTGTATGATTCATACTCTTAGTTCTTTCGGTAAAGTCACGTAGGTAAAAAATGAAATTAAAATTTATAAAAATAAAACAATAAAAAATCACGACTTGTGATACAGCAAATCTGGCTGTGACGGTTCCACCTGATGATGGAGACTTGTGTTGCCTCCGAAACGTCGTGATTTTATTATTTTATTTTTATTAATTTTAATTTCATTTTTTACCTACGTGACTTTCCCGAAAGAACTAAGAGTATGAATCCTTGCAGTCACGAAAGCTTCAAATCTAGAACTGTGTATGATGCCAGCTTTGGGGAGGACTTTATCCAGCAGTGGATAAACCACGGTCGATTATGACAATCCATATGCAGTACCTTGTAGTATTTGCTGCCGGTATCGGTCTGGAAGAGAGTGAGGCATTTGCTGTCGAGACGCCAGTAATGTCTTTTCCGCTGCAATGAAAAAAAATGGTCACCGTTCAGCCACATGCCAAGACAACTACGGTTTTCCCTCGTTATTCACGAACTTGCTATCCATGATTTTGGCATTCCGCGAACCGCATCCGGAACTCTACATGACTGCATCAAGGGAGAGAAAGGCAGCGAGCGAGAAGGTAATGAGATAGTGATCAGAGGGAATGCAATGCGAAAAAATTATGAGATAAAGTGATGAGACCGATAAAGGAGAACTTCTTAAAGCTTTAGAAAATAGATGTTCATAGGCCAATATCATTATCTGCGAAATGTGCATTCACGAGCATGTCCGGAATGTACCCTTCACGATTATCGAGGGAATACTCTGTACACATTCATTCGCAGAGTTCAATTGACCAGGTGAGAAGCAGGTGAGACATCTTGTCTCTCTTTGCAAGTGTCTACCAGGTCAACAAGTGATAGCAGCACACACAGAGTGAGCAGCAGAGAGAAACTGAGGGGGTATCCTGGACAAAAATAAACCTCTATAAACGACAAATATATATCTTAAATGTAACCAATACTGGCTTCATCGAAGCACATGACAAGTCATTTAAAAAAGGTATTTATGTTGGATTGTCTCTACATGGATGGTCGCATAATGACCACTAAACTTAATAATTGCCCCATTAAATTTACAAACTCTAAAAAGCTGTATTTTCTGGACAATTACATTTTTTGTGGATTCTGGATAACTGTTGTTTTTGTTCCTTGTTAGCGTGGGCCATCCCCAGCCTGTGATGTCCTGTAAGAGCCACCACTGCCCCACAGTCTTGGGCTGTGGTTGTCCTTATAAAAGCTAAAAGGGACCTTGACCAGCTGAAACAAAGCCAGAGTCTGAACGGTGACCCGACACCAAGGTGTTAGAGTGAGAGGGAAGCAGACGCATGGCACTGGTGCGGTCAAGGTGAGCCCTCACTCATGTTTCCGTTGTTATTGAAGAACCCTAATGACGCTAAGGCGTGCGTTAATGTGTGGCCTGCCAAAAACATTTGGTATGTCGTATTTGGCCCTCGGTAAGTAAAAGCTTTCCTACCCATGAAATAAAACAACAAATACATCGGTCCTTTCACGTAAAGTCTGAGTGTCGATCTTGGCAGAGGATATTTTGCTATTTTTTCATATTAAATTTTTTTGTCCGAGATCTCAGCATCCTGTGTTCGGGTCTCCATTCAGTTTAAAGACATCTCTTTGGAGATTTGAAAGAAAAATACGATATACAGCAATAAAATGCTCCTCTAATTCACTAGGTGTCACCACAACCTCTTGGGTGCGATAACACGGACGTCAAAAAAATCGGCGGACGATCAAACCCGTTAACCTCGCGGCTGCTAAGCAAAGATCGTCGCTTCATTACCGCAAAAGCATGTAGCAATCATAATGGCCGGCCATGTTTCAAGCAAGGTTATTACTGTTAATTCCTTCCACAGTCAACGGAGGGCTGAGAGAAAAGGCTAAAAATAACAACAACTGTTCATCCCACACAGGACTGCTGGTACATCTGTGTGTGGAGCGCACACGCACACACACACACACGCACACACATTGTGTTGATGCCTCCATAATTTAGTCGTTAATGCAATTCTGATTTCAAGCAAAGCCTTTTGCTCCAAATGCAAACTCGTGAAATGTGAATCCTGCCATGCAGCGATGAATTTTAAAGCACATCTTCCCGTTTATTTCCCGTTTGTGTTGGGTTTCCAAAATAAATTATATTAATGCTTGGAATCCAGAATCCCATTAAGCGAAGGGAAGGGGGGGGGGGGGGCAGATAACTACATTGAATTAAAATGTTCCTTTAAAAAAATGTTCCAGCGTAATTCAGTCACAATTCAAATAGACTCCCCACTCCTTCCCAATGCACCCAATGGATAATACTCAACTCGCTGGCTGCAACGGTAAAATCGCGGGAAAGAAATGTTTTTGCCGGGAGCTGAATCGCCCGTCCACGTATCGCATGGCCGATCGCTTTCACGGGAACAAGATAACCCCCCCCTCCTACCTCCACCCACCGGTCTCGTTATATGGCATCGACGGACGCTCAGCACGAGTAAATTTGCGGCAAATCTCGGTGTGAACGGGGTTATATCGGCAATTAGCACAGGCAGCTAAGACCCGCACCTGACAGCATTCGTCAGGGTTCGGTGACCCCTGCCACGTGAGAATTTTGTTCATCCACACGTTAATTATTCGCCGTCATAAACCAATGGTCTGTTGTTACCTGAGGTCCGTGTTTGCACGTAGCGCTGCAGCCCACCGCAGCACGTGTAACCTATTTAGGTCTACGATGCGGATCAGGAGGAAACTTTTTTTGGAATCCGACAGTTGCCATCAGCGGAACGTAACATGCTCATGAGGAGACGTGATCCAAGACGGCCGTACGGTATGCTTCCAAAGAGAAGCAAAGTGCATCGCTAAATATAATTTTGCATTAAAGTCTAAAACTTGTGTTTCTGTACTAGATGAAGGCGATGCCGAGATAATGCGATGATCATTGCGTTCTCGTGATGTACTTTAAAAAGTTACAAGAGATTTGACTTTGGTTGGTCGCCCTTTAGACTCTCGATAAATAAGATGTTCGTGAAAGAATGCACGAACCTAATTAATTTTAAAGATTCAAACAAAGTCACGATCATCCCCCTTAGCCAGGAAATTTATTGACAAAGATTCAACTTTAAGTTTGTATTACCTACTCTACTTGAATCGCATCGGAGCGAAGGTTTCCATGTACATTGCATTTTTATAGGCCGGCTCGTCTGCCTTTCGTTCTGGTCGCTCATCGTCTACGAGGCCACGAACAGTGCGTCCATTTTGTTTTTTGTAATTTTTCAACGTTATTCCAATGGTGCTAATTCGCATCGCGCGCCGAGATGAAGAATCGTGACGAAGTGTCCACTTGGAATGCTGGCCTGAGCACGAAGTTGAATGCACAACGCGTGGCCATATGCGGACAAGAAGAAGAAAATAGAGATTCCCACTTGCCCAGACATATCCATCAGTCTCGCAATTAATGTGTTCGGCTATCTGTGCATGTGGCCATCCCATCCATAAGCTCCTGACCAGGTGTCCTTTTATTGTGGTGGCCTTTTTTTCAATTTTATTCCAATTGATCTATTGGCCTCATGTCACAGAGATGATGAAGCCATTCCAGAAAGAAAGAAACAAAAAACACGAATTTAATGAGGATTTTACATCCTTGAGTGGGCCGAGATTATCTAGTCATTCCATTTGAGAGGCCGCTATAATCACGGGCGGATGAAACCCAGATTCAAATCCAGGATCCCAGCGGCGGTGGTAGCTCCATGCACCCCCCCCTGCTCCCGCCTCCCCACCAATGAGCCACACAGCTCCCTCTTACCAGGGTGTCCTTGTTGGTGAAGTGAACCATCCAGCCCTCCTTGATGAGCAGGCTGTTCTTCCGCTTGGTGTGCTTGATCGACTGCACCACCCGCATCAGGGGGATGTTGTTACTGGTGGACGGGCTGCATTGGGGAATGGCAAAACAAACAAACAAAATACACATTAAAATAACAGACTCGATAAAAAAAATGTATTGGTGCTTTTGCTATTCGGCACCGTTCGAACAGCTGAAGGCTTATCCTCGCAGAAGTGGCCATGCTTCACCAGACGTAAACGCAGAAGAGGCACGAGCCGTCGCATGGGGCCACGCCTGGCGTGAGCCGTGGGGTCACATCAAAATAATCTAAATACTCTGTGGAGCCGCCTCCACGATTCCCACCAAAAAGCAAACAAATACAAAGATCCCCCGTTTAGCCTTAACAGACTGTTGGGGCAAGTGGTGTTGGCAAGCACCTATGAAGGTTGGCATGGCACAGGAGGGGGATGGTTGACCGACAGCACGCCCGGCTGCCTTTGTCTCCCCAGTGGTGACGTTTACACACTTCACCAGATGAGTCGACCGAGGGGAGGCCAAGGACCAGTTCAGATAAACACCACTGACGTTGGCCGCGAGCGGGAATCGAACCCGGGTCGCAGAGGTTCGAAGTGCAACACGCTATAGCCATTACACGCTACCGCTCCACTCCGATTCCCACCACCACCAGCAGCAGCAGGAGACGCAAACCGAACATCTCACTCGCACACCCCCCGCCCGCCGGCGCCCACCTGATCACGCGGGACATGTCGCCGTCGTTTTCGGGGTCCAGGTCGATGCCCTCGCCCATCTCCGGCACGGGGGTGCCCCCGCGAGGGGGCCGCAATTCCCTATCCCCCTCGGGGGGGGGGCCCTCGTCCGCCGAGCCGTTGCGGCCGCCGTCTTCGTTGTCGTCGCTGTTCTCCTCCGTCACGACCTCGGCGTCCTGCCCGGGGCTCAGCAGATCTGCGGCGCAACGTGCACGTGGCATCGTCGACAACGTCACTGACACCGTCACCGCCACCGTCACCGCCACCGCCAATGTCACCGTCACCGCTATCGTCACCGCCAACGTCACCGACAACGTCATTGTCACAACCCCCATGGCTCCCTCGTTAGTTTTGCACTTGCGCAGTTCCATTGCGCGTCATAAATAATTGTTTTTTGTTGTTTAGTTTATTTTCCTTCCCCGCACCTCCGATAAGCACGTTTGGCTACATACAGTGCAAAAGAAGTTCAACATGCATACAAAGTGTTTTGGGTTAGTTCGCGTACAAAACCTTACTGCATTGGCTGTGGCAGGTAGCGGTGGATTTACGACACATTTGCATTTTACGCGATCGAGCCCAACACAACATATTATGACTAAGATTGGTTGCGAAAGCCTACGTGTTAAATTAGTTCCATTGCACCTCCCTCTACCCTACCCATCAAGAACATCGCCAGGAAAACGATTAAAAAATATACTGTGTTCTCTGGATAATAATAATAAAATAAATAAAAGGTTTTGTGGCGAGTCTTATAATCCAGCAGGTGTGTGTGTTTCCGTGCGTGCATGAGCGGATGTTTTTTGTAGTATTGTAGCGGTTAGCGCTACGCTGCGCTTTGACCCCAGTGACCCGAGTTAAATTGCCGCTCACGGCCACCAACACCGGTGATGATTATCTGAACCAGTCCTGGGCCTCCCCTAGGTCGACTCGGCCTCAAGTGAGTACCTGATGCGGTGTGTAAATGTCGCCACCGGGGAGACAAAGGTAGCCAGGAGTGGTACTGGTCACCCACCCCTTGTGTGCCGTGCCGGCCTTCGTAGGTGCAACTCACTAACAGCACTTGCCCCAGTAGCCTGTTGAGGCAGATTGCAATAGCTTTACTGGTACACGTTTGGGGTCCTTCTTACTTTCCGGAGCATTTTATAATCGGAGAACCTGGTAATAGGTGACGTTTCGGGCATAAATCTTCTTCATCAGTGGATCTCTCTGCTATGAAGAACAGCCATTTCGTAAAACAATTGTTTATTGTAAATGTTCCCCTCTTCAGGACAGTGATCTCGAGGAATGCTCTCGAACACCACTGACAACGCAGTACTGCAATATTTTTCGTTTCCATTTTCCTACATTCACATCTCGCTGCAATCGTTCCCAATGGGCAAATACTTCATCTCATGGACAACGTGGCTACGCTGTGGACAGCAGAGTGGGCAGGGCGGCAAAATCCATCGTCGTACTGTACTTCTATGTTCCCGTGTTTTCGTCAAACTCAAATAACTCCTCGCGACGTGATCTGCACGGCATGGGGTGATCCCTCATCCAGCAGTGCCATTAAGAGGTAATCGGTAAAGGTGGATGCTTGATGTGGAATCAAGTTGCTTGGTCATAGCTCTGTTGTTTGTGTGTCCTCAAAAATAACAAGGGTAGTAGGTACCTTTGTCCCGCATATGATGTAGAATTTTTGGAGGGAGCCGTAAAAAATAGGGTTTTTAAAAAATGTTTTAAAGAACGTGAAAAACCAACGGCGACTTGTCATCAGAGCCGACGGGCCCAGGTCAGATATTTTACTGCCGGTACCACCCGACGTCCCGACTTCAGCGGTGCCAACATGTGTGGCCAAAAACAGTGGAATTATCTGATGCCCGTTGGAAATGAGCGTAGTTAGAAAATAATTAACTCTCATTTGCCAGGTAAGTAAATGGGTACACGACTCAAGAATTTTTCTACCTTGGGTGCTCTGGGCTGCAGACTAACTGCTGTACATCTCCATGCTGGGTAAAATGTCACGTGGCGGGCAGTCCGGGTATAGGTGCTGCACTACAGCAACTGCGTTAGCACTGGATTGTGCATTTCGAAATCGGCTGGCGATATTCGGTGCGTTCAGTCATGTTATGCCTTATCTTCTTATTTTTGTTATTATATATTGTGAATAGAAAATTATAATACAAATAACTAGAAAAATGTAAATTAATTAAATTTGGTGTTGATGATATTAACGGGGTTTTTGTTCAAGAGTAGATATACCGAGCCACTACCCTACCCCTGAATTAGCCCGGCATTTGAGGACAAATGTTCATGTTGTATGTAATTAGTTGAAATGACCACTACAGCCACAAGAGGTGCTGCAGTACACCAAGACAGTTAAACACAATAATCGACTTTTAAATCGAATAATGACCCTGAATCATGGCAATTCATCGAATCACAAGTGGGGTAATAATGAATACGGGAAACATTTTCACATCACTCTCTTTCTCTCCTATCGAATGGGTTTCCGAATGCACTCTTAACATTTCCATTGGCACGTGGAATACAATTGCACGTAGGAAGCTCTTACTGTGCAATATGATCTCGTGTTAACATTTAACAAAATGTCAAACATTTACATTCTGTCAATTTACATTCAGCCTCAATGGAGGCCTCAACAGAAGCGAAATGAAGAGGTGGTGTAATGCCGCATTTTATAAAAATAGAATAATAATTTAAGGTTCCTTCTCACTCTGCTGCTGGATTAAGCCTTCTGCATGCAGTGTCGGGCATGGGAGTTTTTTTTACCTAACTTCACCATGCTGGTTCGCATGGGTTGGTGAAGAGGGACGAGGGGGGGCATGGTTTATATTTTACAATTCACCACTGATCTTAGCCATGGATAGGAATACAACTTAGGCTGTACGTATGCATGTTGAACTTCTTTCACACTGTACGTAGCCAAACCCCGCGAATTGGAGGTGCTGGGCAAGGACAACAAACTAAACACAAAAAGCAGCTCTAAAGAAATGAGTTATCCATCTAGATTTAAAAGTGCATAGCTCCAGTGGCTTCCTAATATTGGAAGGAAGAACGTTACAGACTGCCGCATAAGCGCATCTGAGAGCGCGCGATGCAGTGGCCGTCTTTGTTGGATGGCCAGCCAAAAGCCGCTGCTGCAAGGATGACCGGAGTTCGCGTGATGATTTATGCTCCTTGACGAGACCAGAAAGATTGCTGGGTCGGTGGCACATTGCACCAACCACTGCACCACCACACAGTTCTTAACCTGATAAGATAAATACCAGCGTGACTGTGGAAGGCAATGCACTTTTACAGGCCTTGTCCTTGGCACGAACCTAAAAGACCCGAACTTTGCTCTAACCATAACATGCCCTGTTCATCATGATCACCAGCCATGAAGATATTCCGCTTGCTGGATGAAAGCATCCCCCATTACCGATGCAATCTACCACGGTCCTAAAATGTCACAATCAATCTTTCTAGCTGCCCATGGGGAGATCTCAATTCATACTCCATCTCCGCTGTGGTCAGCCTCCGGTGAAAGTCTTCAACTAATGTTCAGGCTGGTTGCAGTGTAACGCAGAGTCAACTGAACTAGGATTTGCCACCTATTTGCATTGCGACTAATCACCCGTTTGAATTAGCTCCGGCAGCACGGGCCGAGTCTTCGTAGCCTTTGCCCTCGTAAACTACTTACCGCAAGACGTGCTCAAACTATCTCCCTCCGATGCAGAGGGTTGACATTGCAAGAACACCGCGTTCAATGTCGCGCTTTTATTAACTCCCCGTGCAGAAAGGATCGCGGGGTTTATAAGCTCAGCATAAATGCATGTCAAATGCATTTGTATGCTAAAGTATATTTATTATAACTCACCCACTCTCCCCCACCTCCGTGAGTGCTGCTTAAATTTTTGTGTGGTTTTTCTCGATTTTCGTCTCGTCTTTTCCACTCCAAAGTACTACCATCATCGGCAGCAGCACGATAGCGGAAAATACAATTTGGTGCACAGGACAGGCCATCCTATCAGAAGCGGATATCGTTCCACGTCATTACGGAATAGACTCGTATCGAACGGTGTTTGCTTGCAAACAAAAGCTATCGAAATCGCGAATTCAAAAATAAAAACACCTTCACAAACGTCGAACACAACAACACAGCGCGTGGATGCCAACTAAATGGTGCCCAATGCGTCAAGCAAAAAACTAAATCCCATCTATAGAAGGGGCACTACTTCTGATAAATGAGTGTTGTGTATGGAGTTGAATGATGAGCATGGGCCCCTTGTGCAAAGAATTAAATTGGGGCAGCTTGTTCAATTTGCCCCTCTTCAAAGCTGGGTCCATGGGCCCTGGTGCAGTTACACCGCCTGCACACTCGACAGCTACGTTGCTGGTGATGATTATTTTGTTTTTCTCTCTTAGCCATGGAATTGAACAGCCTCTTACCTCCATTGATGATGACTTCGCCCAGGCAGTCTTTCGGCACTTTTGGAGCGCAGCGTTTGTGGCAATTGAACTTGCAGTCTGCGGGCGGCAGGGAGAAAAGGGCACAAGATGCAATTAATTTACAACAAATCACATCAGAAGCCAGGCAGGCGATTGCAGCGGTTGGAGCAAGCGTCTTAGTCAATGGAAGCTCGCGAGTTCAATTGCCGGCCAAGGATCAGTTGTTCACGTCACTGGGTGTTGATGAAATGAGTACCACTTTTGAGGAGTCAATGGTGGTTACCTTAAACTAAACAATACATTTTTATTTTACCAGGTAAGGCCCACGGAGCTATATGGCCACAAACAATAGTGCTACACAGTGGCTTATCACGTGGACATTTCTAGCAGCCAAATACTCTAAACGCATGTGGATTCTAAAAGTGGAGGGGAAAACCGGAGTTCCCGGAGAAAAATCGACGCGAGCACGGGGAGAACATGCAAACTTCCAAATATACAGCAGACGTCAAGGTATGGATCGAACCCATGACCCTCCTGAATACCAGATGAGGTAGCTAACATCTCTCAGCAGCTGTCACGGGAAGATTAGCCGAACCCCACCCCTAGCAGGAAACCCCACCCCTAGCAGGAAGCCCCACTGTGACTTTTCATTTCACCTGCGGTCTTTATTTAAGAGGAGGAGACGGATATATATGTACAGTGGGTCATTAGCATAGAATTTAAGTAGACAATGCCAGATGACAAAAAATTGGCAAGCGACAGAAATTTCCATTCGTGCAAACAAGCACTGGGTTTGAGAGGGAGAGGTGGCAATCCTTCTTACACGTAACAAAAAAACAACATTAGTCGCATTAAACGTAACACGGGGTTATTACTCTCATGACTATTGTTTAACTGCAACCGTTATCTGCATCTCCACACCCCAAGGCCACCAGCCAGTGGTTACAATGAGCCAAGAGCGTCCCCTCTACGAGGAGCATTTTGAGCCGTCTCTGCTAATCTCGGGGTTCCCATCTGTCTGGCTGGACGCGGCGATCAGAAGCCGGCCGCGGCCATCGACCGCAGACTCGTGAATCACACGTCGATTTCGTTTCTATTTATTTTATTTCATTTGTAAAGCTCGGTGACAAAACGACGGACGGAATCGGCCGCGCCGTTGGCTGCCGTAATGCCGAATTTCAATGTGCGAGATGTACGTCAAGAGCAAGTAGAATAGATAAAAGAAACTCATTTAAGGCCGCACGAATGAATAAATGAATTAACAAACAAAAAAGCCAAGCGCGGTCAAAACTCCTTGGATTGTCTGTTGTCACGGGGAAATGGGTGGCCCGGAGAAAAATGTGGATGATGCACAACGCATTTGGATAAGGCCACAGAAACTAATTTATCGTTTAGCTGCAATGGGGGGGTTGAAAGCCTGGAATGTGTTGTCCGGATTTGTTTTTATTGTTCGGTCAAGTAATCTGATTACTTGCCGAGGTATTTGCAATCACGTGGGCACCGAGTCACTAACCATCGACGAGTCAGGAAGCATGGTTATGGTTTAAAACCCGGATACAATCTGCCCACGGATAATCAAGAGTCAACGGTAATATTATTCAGTCTTCCTGCTCAAGTGTATATGGGTCAAGCTCATGTGTCAGCAACAGTGTACCAGTGCTCAAAATACCACATTCCTATGGCAGGGCCCAGTATATTCACATTTACTCGAAACAAAAAAAATGGAACTTAATCCAGCATCAGTGTCAATCAAAGCAAGCAATGCTGACATTGCCAATACAGAGGTAGTCACCATCTCTCTCCATCAACCCTCATCCACTGCAGCAATGATAAATAGTTTTACCCTCCCCTCTTACGATCCTTGCGCACCGTAATGCGATAGAGCTCTGGTGATGCATTGTACCGCCTGTTGTTTGGCATGATGTGACGAGTTAAGGGTTCAACACCCATACAATGTACATGCAGTAGTCTCCCTCATTCATCGCCTTCCGTTGCTCTCTTGAAGCCTACCTCTGCTCTATTGCCCATTCTCTTCCCTCCCCTCGCCCCTCCACAACTTCCCGTCCCTCCCCTATCGCTGTCACTCGTTCGTCAATCCTTGCAGCACGCCCCCTGTCAATGACATCATTCCATTCTGTCATCGCTTTGTAAGCTTATGTCAAGTGCCTTGAGTGAAGGCGCACTTTAAATGTAGAGCGCATTAGATTAATGTGACTGGCATTGTGGCCAAAAAGGCATCGAATTTTGCTGCAAATGACTTGGGATTTACGCACAACAGCAACGTCGCCTGCAACTGTGAACACGTGGCAGCACCCTCCTGACAACGAGGCTTCAGACGAAGTGAGACTTTCCTGGGTAACCAAGCGTTGTAACAATAATGATGATCGAGGTTTCTCTCCACGTGTTGGGAGCTTCTTCAGGCACAGGCGGAGAGCAATGCGTGTGCGTGTGGCGTGGAGTTATACATTCTGTTGGGAGTGGTGGCGCAGTGGTTAGCATGCCGACCTACGAACCCCGCGACTCGAGTTCTATTCCCACTCACGGCCAACACCAGAAACGATTATCTGAATCGGTTTTGGGCCTCCCCTAGGTCGATTCAGCCTCAAATTAGTACCTGTTGCGATATGTGAACATCGCCACTGGGGAAACAAAGGCGACCGGGCGTGTTGCTGGCCGGCACCCCCTCATGTGCCGTGCCAGCCTTTCTCATAGGTGTTCGCTAACAGCACTGGCCCCATACAGTCTGTTAAAGGCTATATGGGGGGGGGGGGATCTTTGTCTCTGTTGTACATTCTGCTTCAATCATATACAGTTGCAGGCTGCTGCTGGTGTTTGATGTTATTTGTTTTATTCGTCTCTCGTGCGTCCGCAGCGAAACGGGAGGAATCTCATCCCCGTGCATACCGGAGTGAAAGCACTCTGCAGACGTCTGCCAAATGGACAGGTTCATGAATCACAAGTGGTGGCCCACATGAGCACAAGTGACAACGCTGAAGAATAACATCTGCCGGCCTTTTGTCAAAAACAACTAGCCAATATAAACAATAATCTAATAACCACATTTTCATTTGTACGGTGCTTAAATGCCTAGAAATCTCAAACCACCTTATACCACAATCTCAGCTCAACCATTCCAAGGGGAGCTCCTCCCCCACAGTTGCAGCTCTCCCTGTTCAGCACAAGGTCGCTCAGTATTGGCCTACAAAGTTGACATCATCTGCCCGTAGAGAGTGTTTATTGCTACATACAATCCGAGTTGAGTAACTTGGAAGCAATTTGTTTAGAGCTGCTTTTTGTGTTTAGTTTGTCCCCCCCCCACGCACCTCCGATATAGCACGGTTGGCTACGTACGGTGCGAAAGAATTTCAACGCACGTACTTACAGAGACCCACAGACACCCAGCCGTATAGAAGTTCAACGTACAAGAAGTTCAACGTACAGACGTACGTGCGTGCAGCGACCACCGTTGGGCTGGACATGCGAGACCGTGAATGCACGCGGCTCGTGCTGTGAGCTCGTGTTCTAAGATCAAAGTCAGTGCCCCCCCCCCCCTTAATTAGGCTCCTCTCGGTTCTGATTTACACATCCGACGGCAGCCAGTGGCTCTCACCGCCGTCATCATGCAGATTTCACATTATTCCCCCGCCGCTAACGAACCTCGCGGTTTCTGTTTTGTTCCCACATTTGGCGTGCATCGGCTCATCAGAAAGCTTCCCTTAGATTTCATTCAATGTCCCAATTATACCCCCCCACCCACGACTTTGGTTACGTGCTACTCTATGAACGCATTCATCTCCCTGCCACTCTCTTCGCTGGGCTGTGATTAATATTATTTATTCTTTGGACTCGGTTTTGTTGTTTGCTTATGCGCAGTCTTAAATCAGCAGGAGCATTTTAACAGAATTTCTGCCACTTCTTATGTTGTTAGTTGCATACATAAATATGAAAACTTTTCTTTCTCCTGAATAATGCATTGTCCGGATTGTGCTTGCATGTCACATTATGATAGAAATCCTGACAATGCATTACCCCCCCCCCCCCAACAGAGAATGGCCTCTGACAAGCGATTTCTAAGCATGTAATCATTCACCGACTGCCCAGTTATTCGGTGAACTGTGCACATTCAGTGTTGGGAATCGATTCGAGATTCAATAACTTTTTTCTCCTCATCTAATATTCATTAAATGTCTTCATCCAGTTTTGTCCACTCAATTCGCCTAAATGTAACATGAGCTTATCGTATGCATTTAATTTTCCGAAATTGCAAATTACAGATTCTCACACATACACAATTCTGCGTGTGCTTCGTGAGCGTCGGACTGGATTTCATCGATGCACCAATTCGACAATCATTTCAATTGCATCATCCATCTTAGAGAACGGCCCTGCAGATGCTGATATCACAAAACTATTTCTGAGACCCATTAAATTGACTCTCATCCACACCAGGGGTGTTACACTTTCGCATGGTCTGTGCCGACAAAGAAATGTGCTGCACGGCTATCAAAATAATATGTTTATTCAAGTTGTAGGATATGGAAAAAATAATGAAAATTACATTTATTATGATTCACGGGGGGCAGGGGATAGGGGTGCAGTCATTAGTCGCCAGTCATCTCTCTACATTTGAGGATCCGGTTTAATCACAGGCCTGTAACTAAACCCGACTTGCAGCTCAATGCTCTGAACGCAGAGCCACCAGGCCCCACCTCCACAGGGCATCTTTAAAGTGGTGACCCACAACAACTTTGGAGGAAAAGCGTTTATGGATCGCAGATTTGTGACACTCTGTAACTTGCTCGGCTGCGAGAGAAAGCAGCACATTCAAGCGAGTTCATTCAGACGTGATTTCCTGGATCTAAACCCAGGCTCTCAGGGGAGGTGGCAACACATCCAGCATATTTTACAACACCATATGCTAGGTTCATGTCACAGAAATAAGCGATGTCATCGATAGTTTCGTACAGCTCGATGGATGCTACGGTGGCGAGATGTTAACCACCTCGCCTGGTATGAAGGAGGTGGTGGTGGGTTCGATCCCGACCCGGACGCCTGTATATTCGGAGTTTGCGTGTCTCTCTCCTCGTGGTCGCGTGGATTCTTCTCCAAGTCCTCCGGTTTTTTTCCGTCCACGTTTAGAAACACGCATTTAGAGTATTTGGCTACAATAAAAATCTCCACGTGACAAGCCACTTCATTGAGCTATCATTTGTGGCCAGGTCGCTTTTGAAAAAGAGCTTCATAGCTCAGTGGGCCTTACCTGGTAATACAAAAATGTAAACCGTTTAAGTTGAACGTAAAAATAGTTTTTTGCTTAAACTTATAGACCTACGCGAGGCAAAAAAAAAATCACCGAGCTCCCGACAGCCACTGGACACAGCCCCCGAGCATCCTGCATGGCAACCCCATGGGAGCTCGTGTTATCACATTTAGTGGACACTTCTACAAACGTCTCCTTCAATTGTCAAGGCTACAGATGAGATGTAGCCGTGACAATTGATTTTTCAAAAGGAAACATCGTTTAGCGAGTACTACATCGCAACGCTATTTTTAAACGGGTTTTCTCCTTGGGATGTTAAATCATTCTACTAATGGAGTCTTCATGGATGTTTAAGGAAACCAGAGAGAGGGGCCAGATAAAATGCATGCATGGAGGGAAATGGGTATTTTAATCTAAAAAAAAGGTACGTCTGCAGCCGACTTCATTTCATCATAAGCCATGACCAATCTGCTACTGAATGAAGGTCTACCCCACATTGTCCTGTGATGCCAAATTCCATTTCATCTCCGAGCAAGATGATTTCTTCGCTCTATCTCTGCGGCGAACATTATGGTTATAGCTTGTGATCCCAGAGCAGTACAGGCAGACAATCAATTCACCAACAAATCAACAAGGCAAAATCCCTTTTCCAAAATGAATGTTTGCTTTTCGAGAGAGGGCATAACCTGACGAGGGGAGAGCGGGCAAAAAGAGGATGTAATCGCGAGACTCGTGAGGGACACTTCTTCATGGATGGCTGAATCACAATAATCATCAGCATACTACTACTCCATAGATATTCATCATCATCATCATATTACTGTTGATGTATTGACATTTTTATTCATACTCTTTGGTTCTTTCGGTAAAGTCACGTAGGTAGAAAAATGTAATAAAATAATATATATATCACGACGTTTCGATCGCAACACAAGCGGTCGTCCTCAGGCGGAAAAAATAATAATCCAGCAGTGGACCTGCTGAACCAGCGAGAGAGCTGTTACAACAAGAGGTTATTTATGTGGCGATGGGCAAGCAGGCGGGGTCTGAGCTGGAAAGGAATGCCATCCCCGGACGCAAGCACGTCAGTTGTGTTAATGGGGGAGATTAGGGAGAGAGAGATTAGGTAGAGAGATTAGCATGAAATGAACTTCCTCATAATGATAAATGAAAGGGGTACAAGGACGACGAGACCCCAAAGTGCACAGTCGCCCTTCTGTGAATGAGGCCATCATCATAATTTCCATCCACACTTTTGACTTTAATTCTCACGTAATAATGTATGAATGCAAGAAAACGCCGTCTCCTGTATAGGGGGTGTCCTCAACATGCCCCAAGCCGAATTGGGAGCCTGTCACCCCAGTTTTAGATTTAAAGCCAGGATCCATAAGGCCAAGCGGATGCCTAGGCCAATGTCAAGGCCTGTCCTGGTAGGATCTTATAGGCGGAGACCACAGTCTAGGCCGGGTGCCTCGAGCCCAACTTCACAGGCCAGAGGCCCCCCCCCCCCCACCCAACGCAAAGGTCAAGGATGACACAAGAGAAAATTCGTGAGCATTTAATGTAGTCATATAAACAACAACGGATCATGTGAATCTGGGGAATATGCAGTACCTATCATTAGTTGGGCTATTGACAGTTAATCAACGCACGGTGGAATGCTTTTACGCTTTGCTTTGTTGTCCCACCCCGCACCTCCGATTGGCACGCCCGCGCTCACCTTTGCACTGCATGCCCTGGCGGAAGAGGCCCTTGAGCAGGCGCTTGCAGAACTGGCACATGGTGGGGCGCTTGTAGGAGTGCACGACGAAGGTGTGCGGCACCTTGACCTTGCCGGCGAAGGCACGGTCCACCCACACGGGGCGGCCGCTCCACGACGGAGAGCGCCGCTCGCGCCCCACCGCATCCTGAGGGCTCTTCTGAATCGCCGGGGGGGGGGGGGGGGGGGTAAGAGACGCTCGTAAAGACATGACAACAGTCCCCGCCATCGGAACGAAAGGCGGCCAAGGTGGATTTGCCGCGACGCACGCTTTCAGACTCCCTTCCGCGGCCGCCTGCAAACGCTCTTACTTTTCCGATATTGGGAAGCCACTGGGCGCTGTGCACTTTTAAATAGGCTGGATTGAAAACTAATTTCTTTCGAACTGCTTTTTGTGTTTAGGCTGTTGTCCATCCCCCGCACCGTCGTTAAGCACGGTTGGCTACGTACGGTGCGAAAAAAGTTCAACATACATACGTACAACTGATTTGTTGGGGCAAGTGCCACACGATAGAGGGCTGCCTCCATCTCCCCTGTGTTGATGTCTTTAGGTAACTATCCAGGTACTCATTTTAGGCTGGTTCAAATAACCGGTCACTGGTGTTGGCTGCGAGCGGGAATTGAACCGAGGGATCACCAGGTTCGTAGCGCAGCGCGTTAGCCGCTGTGCCAACGCATGTACGCACATGTGCAAAGGCAGACGCACAGACAAGAAAAAAATGCACACACAAGAAAAAAATGCACACACAAGCACAGGATGACACGAGCATGCACTCTGTTACACAAACAAGCACAGAAAAAGCAAACATGCTCAGAAACAAGACGCACAAATTCACACACCGATGCAATCGCCGCGCATGCGTGGCAAACACACCGTGCACACATATGCATGCACACGCATATATAGACAAGCAGTAAATCATATGTAAACACCCAATGTGTGCACACAAAAAGCGCACATGCACAGAGACCTGCGCCGACGGACACGCAGCACGCACGACACCACGCAAAACAATTTCACAGTTTTCGCCGCACCACACACACACAGTCGCATGCGCATCAACGTGTGAACCAAGAAGAGAAAACGTTTTCGCATCATTGCTATTAGCAACATACTGTTGCATAGTACACAGTAAGACCATTAGCAGTTGTTGCTCCAATTACAAAAGCATGAACAAAACAAAAGCAAAGCTAAACGACAAAACGATCCTAGCAGTGATTCTGGATTAATTAAACGTGAACGTTTGTTTCGTTTTTTGCATTTTGGCAAAGTCTGTTCGTGCTATTTTCAGGCAACTTAAGGGAGTCTCGGCACTTGCAAGGGGTCTGAAGGAGAAAAAAAGGGCGGGGAGGGGGTGGGTGTGAAAGCGACTTTAACGAAGCAACACTCCTGTGGCAGAAAATCGAAAAAGTTGACAAGGAAGAAAAATGAGCCAATATGTACGAAGGCTGGCGTGTCTGCTCGCTCTGGCGAGCGCCGTCGCGGATCCGTTTCACTCGGCCACATGTGCAACTGCCGTGCGGTGCGCAGCGCTGAGGAGCCCGGCTGGCAAAAGGCCCAGACAAAGAATCCACATGGGCAGAAAAACGACGAGCCGTGTGTGGGTGGCTGGGAAATGGGCATTTCAGACAAGTCGGTGTCAAAATCAATGCCGCCCCCGTGTCCCGTAAATATTTTCAACAAGTTGACTGTGGTCAGCAGTGTCAAGGGAGTTTTTAAAAATTAATATCGCATTGCTCCTGTTCACCCAGTGTAGCCAATAACATGAGGTGATGCGAGTGTAGTCCCCATACACAGGGCCCAGTACATGCGGAGAGAGACTTTATTTTATAATGTCGGTGCGGCAGGTTCATCTATTGGGAGTAAAGACGACAGAGGGCCCAGATTCCACTGTTGAATGGATTTGCACCTCGGCACTATGACGGCTGCCCCCTTCTCCCCCCCGCTTCCAAACCACGTGTAGCCAAAGCACTGAGGTTGACACAGCCAATCAGAAGCAGTCTCGGTACCAGCTCTGGCCAATCAGTGGGCTGACCATGTTGAACCCTTTGGGGCAAATATAGACAGATTATTTTTTTACTGCCCTTGAGGTAAATTTGACTTGCCTTGCAGTTCAATCATTTTAAATCCCCATATGTTTATCTCCTAAATGTGGATATAAATGGTAACAGCAAATGACAACTTCAGTTTCAATACTACGGCAGAATCTAAATATATAGATAATTTAGTGAAGTACATCATATGTACATTTACAAGCAATTACAATGCGAGAAATAGATTTCACGCATAAGTATCGCCACAAGTGTAATTACGCATAATTATAGGACGCAAAAAACAAGGGACTTACATTGGCAGTGGTTTGTAAACGCAACTAAAATAATACCACATTCATTATGTATATATCCAGTGGAAGCGAACGAAAAAGTCGAACTGTAATTTAGAACCCTTAGTTTGTTGTCCTTCCCCGCACCTCCGATTAGCATGGTTGGCTTCGCAAAAGAAGTTCAACATGCATACAAATAGGGCCTCCCCATGCTGCGTGGGTCATGGGGTTTGTTGGTCATACTTCCCCACACAGCTGGTCAGTACGCCTTGGTGAAGCTTTGGGGGGGGCGGGGAGAGTGGAAGGTGCCAGGACCAGAGGAATCAATTTTGAAATGTTCAAATTGAAAACAGCAACAAAACCAGTGCAGGCAATGGTTGCCAAAAACTGAAATTACACAATTTATCTCCCCTGGTCCAGATGATGTATTTTAAGCATACAGGGCTGAGAATGTGTGCATAGAAAAAAAAATTCCTCCCCAAAATTGAAAAGTGGTTCACGTGTGTAATTACATAATCGGTGGTGGGAAAAAAATGCTCTCCTTCAGCCACCTGCACTCATTTTTTTCGCCAAAAATTGTGTTTGTTAATTTTAAACTTTCTTTTTGCACATCTTACTGCTCCGCAAGTTGAAAATAACTCTGTTAACACTGTTTACACGGAATTCATCGTTGTTCCATCCACTGCTGGATGAAGGCCTGCCCCATGCTGTCACCATCCCTCACAGTTCTGTGATGCCACAATTTTACTCACTCCTGCACACTGAACTCATTACATCGCTAAATCTCCTGCACACGAGAGCTCATTACATCGCTAAATCTCATTACGTCGCGAAATCTCCACGGTGGTCATTCTTTCAGGTGCTCTCCCTGCATTATATATTTATATACCTTATCTATTTTCCGTATTTATTTTTTTGTGATTTGCTCACCTTTCCTATACTTTGTACTCTTATAATTTTTGTCTTGTTTGTTGTAGTAACCTTTTGACGCGCCCCCTACCGGACATCCGAGCGTCATAGCTCATCAGATTTCTGCAGGCTAAATAAACTCTGATTTAGATTTCAACTTATTTGGTCACGATCTTTTTTTCTCACATCATGCAGAGTGAGCAATAATTAATTATACTTAGGTTTTTTCGGTAAAGTCACGTAGGTAAAAAATTAAAATTAATAAAAGCTATCGTGCTGTGACGGTTCCACCTGAAGACGGAAGCTTGCGTTGCCTCCGAAACGTCGTGATTTATTTTTTTATTTCTATTATTACTTCTATAATTTTTTTTTACATACGTGACTTTACCGAAAAAAACCTAAGAATATGAATCCTTGAAGTCACGAAAGCTTCAAATCTAGAAATAATTAATTATAGTTATTGTTGGCATTGAGAAGGGACAATTAAAGCAATGGTCAAGTTTCTTACATATCCGCCGCCTCTGTCCACCCGGCAGAATTAAAGAGGCTATTGACGATTCGTCGAGCGGCAGATCGTGTGTGGTGGGGTGAAGTGTGGGTATTTCCACCTGTTCCAACACATTTGACCAGCGAGAAAGTAGGTAAAAGTACCTTCTAGATGGGCCCTCTGGAGGTGCCAATGCAGCAATGCTGTGGGCAACCAATTGCAGAGCTGCACCTTTGCCTTCAAGTCAATCATTAAATTAGGCCGCGTGAATGATGAATCTCGCAAGTTTGTCTTGAGTTTTGCTTCAACACACACAATTATTATATCATTATTAGTTTTGCATAACTCGTAACACATGCAAAGTGCTATACGTGTGATAAAGTGGTAAAAGCAAGTTGGTACTAAAACGAGCGAGTGTGGGTATTGGGGTGGCGACACTCAGGACCGGATTACGTTCGATGGGGGCCCGGGGGCTGTTAGCCTTGAGGGGCTCCTCTTTGTAAACTAAACGTCTACCCTTCACCGATTTACCACCACCCATAACCATTGTTATTTTTACCGAGGTTATTTCCGTTCCGGTTTTTGTTAACGTTACATACGAATTGTAGATCTAAATCGAAGTTGAAATAAACATAACGATCTTAATTGTGTGCACGTGACTGGCGGTCGCACACACAGTCATGCTGTGGCTGCCCGTAACTAATTACCGGCGACGTTTATCGCGGTGGTACACAAATACGATTCAACTATTATGAAGCCGTATGTCGAGGCCGAGGGCTGTAGCCCCGAAAGGCCCTACGCTAATCCGGCCACGGCAAACCCTGAGCGTGCGAATGAGAGAGTAGAATTGCAGGTACATACCTCCCCACCAGGAGAGGCAGTGGGCGGCTGAGAGGAACAGCAAAAAATGGAAACAACAACAACAACGGAAACATTGAGGCAAGAGTGAAGAAACGAAGAAACATAATCAGGGGTGGGGGACGCACGTGAGGGAGTAGGATGGATCGAGTGTTGGGTCGTGGTGAAGGGAGGGAGGGAGAGGAAGTGAGAGAGAATATGTCGGGAGAGACAAAAGTAGATGCACAGCATCAGTAAACAAGCAGGAAGAACAACACATCACAAATTGCAGAAATTAAAATTCCCCCTCGGCTGGAAGAAGATTTAATTCCTTTGACACAAAGCATATTGGGCTGTCGTGTTTGCGAGAAAATGTAAACTTGACATTTACATTACTTGTTGATTAAATAATATTGCAGAAAAGAGGCAACTGCAGTCAAAAGTGAGGCTGCAAAGATGAGAAAATCAAGCAGACAGAAAGATAAAGGGAGAATAATTTGTGCACAAATAAGCAGTACATTCGTCTGATGCAGGACATGCTTACATTTTAATGAGATGTGGCCATGCCACATAAAGGGATGTAGCCTTAAGTGGTTGAATGTATGAATAACATTAACTATGCACAAATATATATGAAAGCTCCCTCAATACCACCAATGCCACAAGTGATTAATAAGCGACAACAAAAAAACCCACATCAAATGCATGACATGTAAGGATGGGTTAATGGGACGCTGCTATGGTGCAACGGTCAGCACACTGGACTCGAAAAGCAGAGGTCGCCGGTTCAACTCAAACTTCCGGCCTGGCAGTTGAACAATTGGGTCATTTTTTTATTTTTTTAAACCACCCCCATCGCCTCTGTCAAACTCAGCACCATTAATCGCTGCGCCACGGTTAAATCGATCGGTAGGTTACGTGCGGTGGAGATCAAGTGTGGTTGCTCCCACCCCCTCCAACGTCTGGCCAGTGTGGAAGAGTAGGCCAAAGTAAAGACAAAACGCCCTCGAGCGCTCCTAGTCGAGGCCCTTCTGACATCAGTGGCGTGAGGCAAGCCATCGCATGGGTGCAATTGCACGTCTAAATAGAAAAAAAAAACCCCAGATCAAACAAGTACCATTCTCTGCACAGTTAAATGGATCTACATAAATGCACCACTGTACATTTCATGGGTGACCGACCCCAAAGTTTGTGGCCAGTCATCCATGATTCCACCACAACCGCAAATTATTTCCCTTCTGATTCCTGGTATCCCTTCCTCATATTACAGGCAATCCAGGCAATGCTGTTTCTGTAAAATCTGCAGGCCGGGTTGTGTGATTAAGCCAATCTGTTTTTATTCATTATTATTATTATTTGCAACAAATATAGGAACCACAACGATAATTTTGGTTGGATAATTTTCAGCAGGGTATTTATTATACTTTTTATTCGTTTCTGTTATTGGCCCTGGTTGCGAGCCTTCTGTTATTGCGCTGCCACTATCCTTGGAAGTGAATGACGCGAGGCCTGTACGTGAACAGAAATGATTTGTGCTCGGGGGTTGTATCGCTGCCTTCATGCATTTGAAAACTTTAGAGGCTGAGTGCTTGACAATAGAATAATCAATGCTTAATAAAGGTAGCCGCTGATCGAATTGATGCGATAGTATTTGACGGCACACTGACGATTATTGAGGAAAATCCCCTAGATCCACAAAACTGGCTTGCGAGGTGGTGTTTGTCACGTGTGTGCGTGTGTGTGCATCCGTCTTTGTGGGGATCGGTAGTGTCGTGGTTCGCACAGTAAGCTATGAGCCCGGCGATCCACGTTCGATTCCCACTCATGGCTAATATCACTGCAGATATATCTGAACTCGTCCTGGGGCTCCCCAGAGGTCAACTCAGCATAAAACGAGCACCTCGTACACTGTGTGAATGTCAGCATTGCGGGGGGGGGGGGGGAATGAAGGCAGATGGGCAGGGCACTGGCCACATCGCCCCATTGTGTGCCATGTGGGCCTTCATGGCTGCTCACTAACAGCACTCGTCCCAACAGTCTATGTCGGCGAAACAGGAGATCTGTGCCTTCGCTTTGTGGTGTGTGTCCGTATGGTCACGCGTGTGTTCTCCGCATGCGATTCTGGCCACACCACCCCCATCGCGAGCCACGATGGCCTTGATAGGTGCTCGCTAACAGCGCTCACCCCACAGCAGCCTTTTAAGGCTAATACGATGAGTGGGGGGGGGGGGGGGTTCAGGACAGCCCACGTGCATTTGTGTGCGAGTGCGCCTGTTTCTCCACTCGGCTTTTTGGGAAAAGCAGAGATCCGCGGGCGTCGTGCTCCCAAAGCTGACAAATACCGAGCGGGGAGCTGTGGCGCCAGGGCGCATCAAAGCACACGTTTGCATGGGAAGTGGCGTGGAAAGGTCAGCGTGCGATGGAAAGGTCAGGCCGTCAGGGTCAGGAGGAGCGCAACCTTCCCCCTCTCCACCTCACCCCACCCGCGCTCCCCCCCCCCCCGCCCCACCCCTGTGCCCATCCCATGCAAACGGCCGTGCACATTTTTCTTTGGACACGAAAAATAAATACGACGGCTGCTGGGTTCTCGCGTAACTCGACGCCAGAGAGGGACAAGGAGTGCCCCTTTTGTGCGTCCTGACACGTGGAGGGCATGGCCAGCGCCAATAATCGGGGCCAAGAGGCAACCGACAAAGGGGAGAGAGAAGCGGCGGCCTCTGCCTTGCCGGAATGAGAAGCTTACGACAGCCCTGGGAGGGGAGGCATGCAATTAGTCACGTGGGGCACCACAACACAGGCAACGTTGAAGAAACCTTAAACCAACGTTAAACGTGAAACAGAAGGAGTAATGATACAGGTTGCTTATTGTCTTCTTCTTGGTTCTTTCGGTAAAGTCACGTAGAAGGGAAATAATAAAATAATAAAAATATAACATAATAAAATACAATTCTCACGACGTGACGTTTCAGCCACAACGCAAGCAGCTTAAATATACGCTGCTCATTTTCTATCGTGTAGGCTGCTCCATGTGTACGAGGAAGGTCTGCGACGACCCAATGCTGAGTTGTACGATGATAAATTAGAAAGGGGGGGGGGGTGAGGCTTAGAAGAGCGGGGGGGGCACAGCCCCCTTCAGCCCCAAAGCAACACTGCTTGAAGGGGCTCTCACATGGCACTTAAAATAGCAGGAAACAAGTTCACACAAACGGAGTTCCTTTTTATAGGATCGTTTCAGCGTTCCAAGAAACGCGAGATAAGGGCCTTTAAAATGTTAAGTCGTTCAAAAGTTGAATATGGCATTGCCTATGAATCACAGCATTAGGCACTGTCAGAGAGAGTTCATTTCTTGACCCAGAGCTTGACAGAGAACGACGAAAGGTCCACGTGAACACTGTCAATTTCAATAAAAACAAAAATTACCAGCAGAATTTACAGCTCGAGCACCACCCACGTAGTAGGCAGTCAATAGCGGTCTTCTGATGCATTGTCTTCTCACTGACATTGGCATGTCAGGAAATTCCACCACTGGCTAATGGGCTGAATAAGATGGTATGTATATCTCTGGCATGCGCCTATGCAGCATTCATCCTCGAAGCAACGGCTTTTGCCTGGCCATCGAAGACGGTGGTCACTGCATCATGCGCTTCTAGATGCACTTCTGCGGCCGTCTGGAACCTTCCTCCACCCAGCATTAGGAAGCTACTGGAGCTACGCACTTTTCAAACTAGGTTGAAAACTGATTTCGGTAGAACTGATTTTTGTTTTTAGTTTGTCGTCCTTCCCCCGCACCTCCAAATTGCACGGTTGGCTACGTACGGTGCAAAATAAGTTCAATATACGTACGTACGTACATATGCAGGCTGGGCCAGTGGGGGTGGTCAATAATGACGGCCGCCTAGGTTACCAAGCCGTGGGTGGGTGGGACAGCACCAGTAACATTCACAAGCGCAGAAACCGTTATGGATCTTTACACAATTGTATGGACGTGTCACAAGGCGTGAATATAATGATTAACACACACTGGTTACATGACAGGCAACAAATAACAACAAATGAGAGCCAACTGATAACACAAGCGGTAAATACAAACAACAACAAAATCAAATATATTAAAAAAACACGATGGGCGGATTGACAAACCAGTTGTGGCAGAAGCCGTTAACAGAACACTGCAACCGTCCACTCTTACGATGAACGTATCGTGACGTGCATGCGCGGTTTGAAGGAGCAACCAGAGGAAGAAAGAAGGGGTGGTGATTTGGAGGTGGAAGTGTGCGACAATTTAGCGAGAGCATTCTTACGGAAAGGAACCAGTTATACGGCAGAGGAAGAACTTAAGTCTGGCCTTAAAGAATTTGGGTGAGAACTCAAGAGACTAGGATGTATCTCATTTGCAGGTAACCTGGGGCATGAGCCTCCCAGTAGGGGACGATAATAGCCATGTAGAGTCCCAATTAAGTACATGCTGCGGGTAATTTTCCAAGATGGGAGAGGGAATCAGTAGCGGTGGAGAACCAGGGGCAGAGAATGTCAAGCATCAGGAGCAGATCAAGACCAGTCTAGAGCCCCCCTCAACGGGCTTGGTGTAAACCAACATTGGCTCCTCTAAACAGCGTGTGTGCGCCGCAGCGAGCGGTGTGTCTATCCCCTCCTCATTGGTTGTGCCCCCAGGTTTGGGTCAGGTGTCAAAATTGAGCGGTAGGAGGCTGCATCGCCGAGGACAAAGTTAGAGACCAAATGGACGGCGTGGCAAATAAAGCTACCTGGAAAGCAAACCGAGCAACTTTTTTTGCCGGAGACTGAAGGGGGAACCAATATTCCTGGCTATTAGTTGCCAGGGGAAACAAACGTTTGGTGGGGCGGGCAGCATTTATTCTGTGACGTGGGTGACGGAAGTGGAAGAAGCAGAAGAGGGGGGGGGGGCAAGGGGGGTTGGGGGGGGGTCGGTACCGGCGGCGTGTCGTCTGCGCTGCTGCACTCGCCGGCCATCTTGGGGGCGGCGATGCCCGTGATACCGGTGAGGGAGACGTTGGAGAGACGGCGCCGCCGCAGGCCGCTGCAGTTGTTGGGGATCTTGAAGGCGCAGCGCTTGTGGTAGTTCGACCCACAGCCTGGGACGGCAACGACAACAATGCACGGGGGTGAGCGTGCTAGTGGATGGTGGTGTGGGGGGGGGGGGCTGGGGAAGAAGTGAATTGTCATCATCAGCCATGATATCAATCCACTGCCGATTGAAGGCCTTCGCAAGCTGCCGTTATTCTGTGACGGTACAGCGATGGAAACGATCCACCTAACACCTGCACAAAAAAGCAAAACTCATGTCACAACAAGTTTGCTGAACAAATGCATGTTTTGGAAGAGGCACAACTGGAAAATTGAAAAGTGTGTGTGTATGTATATATATAATATATGACATTATTGAATGTGGACCAGGATCAAAATGATGAAATAAAGAGCCAATCGATTGCAGGCCCAAAATGCTTTTGGGAAATCATCCGTTCAACTGTAATAAAATACTCTTTGATTCCTGCAGTCACGAAAGCTTGAAATCAAGATGTAATAAAAAGATTCGTCAAAACTTTTTTTTTTACACACTGGGATCGCACCACCTATACGGGGCTTAGTCATTTACTAGGCTTCACGTGTACCCTTGGCTCCTCAAAATGTACACCCCCACCGCCCTTCCTTCCTAAGGATGCTTGACCCAACCAAGCATTGTCAGCGCACATGAGGACCACACACACGTGATCACCTCACACACACAAAGCGATGGAGGAACGCCTCCTGGGCAGTTTAACTATGAGGACGCACATTTCAGACGATTCCGAGACGCGGGTAAATGTTTTAAGTCAAGTCACACGTTTTGAATTTTTTTTACTTGGACATAGTACGTCAATCATTTCGGACTATAATTTATATAGAAACAATATGTCCTTCGTTTCGTTGGCGAGGAAGATTTGCTCCTAAAACCGCAGAGCATGGGCGATTGTTGGCGCCGGTTCTGGCTGCCTTCCCACTTTGTCTGTGGGTTTCACGGGCCTCCTTGTGAAAACTGTGGGCGTTACAAATTCTACAGGGTTTTGAGATGCAATTCGCATGGATGACACAATATAGAACTACATTTATTAAATACCACGCGTCAGACGATCCCACTATTTCACCCATGCTGGGATGGTGATGGTGCATTTGATTTGGTGTTTGCATCAAGCCATCGACTTACTGTATAAAAAATCCACACGAGACTAGAGATATGACAGCCCGTACGTATTATTAGGATGATTGTGAAATGTTAACCATGGCGTTGCCTAAATTATGGAAGAGTCTGCAGCAAGGATGTCGGCACTTCGAAACCCTACGACGATGATAGGAGGCGGCAAAAGTGAGCGACAAAAGCGGTAGCAGCAGCGACATCACGGATCGGATCAACAATCTAGGCCCAACCCATTCCGCTCGGAAACACGCGGCATCCCGAGCTGCCACTGCAGAATCCGTCGATCCCAGATCGTCGGCCTAATTAGCCATCTTTAGACCCACAGGTAAGACAATGATGGAAGACGATCATCCTCGACGACGATGGATTCACGAAAAAGAGGACACTCCTCACGAAGTGGACATCAGCTAAAAAAATAGCACACGTGTGCAACGACACATTGATTCAACTATTGAAGGAAATATTCACGCTCGAATGTGCGTTCATCCAATCCTGTGCGGTTAGTTTGTTCAGAATTTTTGAGAATTGTACGGAAACGTTAGGTTTTGGGTGACGGAGCAAAATAACAGGCAAAGTGGTTCAATTGAGATGGAGAAAAAAACCCAGAGAGACGTAGAATAAAAAAAGACTAAACAAATGAGACAGAACATAGGAGAGACAGTTGCGAACAAGTGCTGTAATTTACATGAGCACACACTACAATTTAAGTAGATGAAAGGGGTATGCCAGTGTTACTATATGCGAAAAAAAAAAATCTGCAATCGTCACAATCGTGATAATTCAGCAAAATCTCTGGGGAGGGGGGGTGAATTGTTACACGCCTCGAAAATACGTTCAGGAAATAATAAAACTGTGCTAACAAAAATCTTGAGGGAAGCAGTGTTGCAGTGGTTAGTGCACCGCGATACGAACCCGGTAACCCAACTGCAATTCCGGCCATCAGTGAGGAGTGATATCTGAACCAGCACCCCCCACCACCACCACCACCACCCATTCAGCCACCTACACTGGGCCCCGTTGTGAAGTATGGTCAACAACCCCCATGGCGGTGGACGGTGGGGGAGGAAGGAGGGGGGAAATAATTACTTCAGCGAGCAAATGGATCGAGAAAGGGGCCGCATATTATTGATATGCTTATTTATCTTTTTTGAAATGATATTGAGGAATAATGACGGAACAAGCGGAGCACCCGTGTCGTCTGTCCTGAGGCAGGGAACACGATGTGCTGCAATCAGGGCACAACAAAACCCCCTATGAACCTCCCAAGAAGGGCAGCACGCGCACGAGCGTTTATTGTGCGTTTTCACAAAAAGGGGATAGAGAGCGCGCGCACGTGCCAAAAGGCGTGACCTCCAACGATCATTGCGCTTTGAAGGAAGTGCTGCAGAACAACAAAAGGACATGGGTTAGATTATAGACATTATCGTTAGAACACGAAAGACAACGATGTGGAAGGCGTTTATCGACGAAGCGACTGCATGCCCGCTTGTGTTGTTTTTTTTATTGCGCGATTTTTAAATTCTGAACGAACCCACTGTGATGCAGATTAAGGTCACGTGGCTATTTGTGATGTTTACGGACAGCCCCCTCCTACCCGCCACGGTGTATACATTGAGCTGTCTCCAACTTTGCCCCGTGCATCTAAACCATGAAGCGGAGCAGGTGGCCCCTTCTCCCATGCTGCACCTATCGTCTGCAATTCCCTCTTCCGCGAGCCAACATAATTGAAAAGTCGCTTCTCCTGGGTCACCAACCTTTCTCTGCACTCGTTCCCAAGCAACCTCCCACCTTTTTCCCTTGTTTGAAAGCAACTGAATGCCTCCCCAGTGTGTATCGCATCTTGAGATGCGGTTGTATTTAGATTCAGTCCAACTATGGCTTTGAGATTGTATGGATTAGAGAGCATAAGAGCAATGCAAAATGAATATCGCCATAAATAAAATAGGCACATGACAACAGAACGGTACAGGGGACATAGCAACAGGAATGGAGAAAAAACCCGTAATGCCCTCAACGGCTCACACCAACTGCGCTACGAATAGCATAAGAAAAGGTAAGGAGTGAAATAAAATAACAAAATAAGTGAAAAGTAGAGAGGCATTTTTTACTTTAAATGTTAGATTTTATGGGAAGGCAAGTCTGAAAAAAGCACTCAGACAGGACTCGTTTCTGAGAGCGATTATTGGCAGTGGTTGAGTGATGGTGGAGTGGCAGACAAAGGAAGAACACTTTCCTGAGAGGCCGCCCGCCATGTACGTACGTTGAACTTTTTTCGCACCGTACGTTGGCAACCGTGCTAAGACAGAGCGATGGGACGGGCTTGTGCGCTACTGCCAGATAGATTGTTGCATCATGAGACGGTGATAGATGGGATGAAGGCTTTGGGCAGGCCTCCGTCCAGCAGTGCGTAGATCATGGCTGACGATGATGATAATTTAATGTCTATTGTACTGCTTATCTATAGACTATAAAAGACCAATACAATTTCACAGTTGAAGTTTTCCACAAAGGCTTCACGTCGTCTGCATTAGGAGCGAGGTATTTATTAATTTAACAAAATACTATTTCCAACTGTCATCTCCAATTTTTTTTAGAGAAATGGGAAAATGTTTAAGACATCCTTCGAAACCCCATTAAGTTAGCATGCCTTCGTGAAAAAATGTTCACATTTTTTTTGACATTGGTCATATAGAGCTCATGATCAATAGCATAGGTCCCTTGTTCCTTCCGGCGTAATGAGCCCCGACTCGATTCTCTATCGTGAGTCATCCAATTAAGTGCTGTGACTGACAGAAAGCTACTCCGTCACATGCGAACAGAGTCGGCTTCTTCTCAAGTAGACGAGAGGGCACAAGCTCGTCAAATCGGCAGCTCGCGCGTGGTGGGATGACGCGTTGGTCGCCTCCACCTCTTTCCAATGAATCTGACCAGCATGGAAGAGTCGGCCAACATAACCTCGAGAGGAGGATCTCGAGAGCTGCACCAAAGGGAAGTCTTGTACCAACGGTGGTGGCGTGAGCAAGAAATTGCAGGGCTGCCCCTGAACCATCATCAGTATAAATACAAATTCTGATTCATCTCCTTAAGACGAGAAGGGTGGCCTGCGCTGTGGATGGGGGTGAATCTTCCCCATTGGCCCCCTCCTTCATCATCATATATATTCCATGAATTAAACACATCATTAATTGGCCAATAACAACTTAATATATAGAAGACTGCAGAGCTTGGGAAATTGTTTGGCACCAGCTCACCCAGTGGCTGCATTCCCGCTTGTCTGTGGTTCATTGTCATGGCTCAGAGTCGTTCTCCGTCTGCGAGAGCGAGCGACTACTGTGCGCGTCACAGGCTGAAATTATTATTGTTATTGTCATCACAGAGGCCGGTGGTGGTGCCCATGCAGTTATTGTCAAGGTTAAGCTTAAAGCATCGGTCACAAGTCACCCAACCACTCCCCGCACACCTGAGGCTGCCTTGAAGAAAAGCCTGCTGCAGTCACGCGTAAAAAATGCATCTACCCCCGTCTCGGCGCTTGCGTGCGTTTTCACGTGCGCACCATCAAGCACACGTACACGCTGACGTTCATGCAATTTTAAACAAACTCTGGGTAACCCCGGCAATTGCCACGAGTGGCCTGAGATGCCCCTACCAGGCTCCATTAATGAGCTCTCAGGATTCATTACGCGGGCAAAACACACGATGATGAGCATTATGACGGTGAGGAATTGAAGCCAATGGCGGTCATCTAATAGGTTCCTTTTTTATGAATTGATATACCAGATAAGCGTTTCAAATCGGACCAATTTACAATGAATGTGCTTGATTTCATCAGATCGTGGACGCTCACAGAGCTGATTGGTAGCTGGAAGGAAGACCGCGTGATTATACCAGATGGTGTAGGCT